GCTTCTAGAGTGAGAGCCTTGTTTAGATTGAGGGTGGTTTGTAATGCAGTTCTATGTGTTAGGTAGTGTGTGCAGTGGATGAGTTCGTGTTCTGGGGTTTCTGGTTGTTTGCAGTGTGGGCAGTTACCTGTAGTGTGTTTTTTTATTTTTTTTAGGTGGTTATTTAGGTTGGTGTGTCCTGTTTGGAGTTTAGTGATTACTCTGTCGATTTTTTTTGATGGATGGAGAATTTTTGGTTTGGTTAGTGGTTTGCTGAGCACTTTTTTGATTTGGCTATTTGAGTTAAGATATAGGTTATGCCATTTTTTTGTGATTTTTTGCTTGTTTACACTTTTAATTTCTGATTTTGAGATGGGTAAGTTTAAGCTTATTTCTAGGATTTTGAGGGATACTTTAGCTGCTTTATCGGTGTTTTCATTACCGTTTATTCCTACGTGGGCGGGTATCCACAAGAAGGTTATTTGTTTGCCTGCCTTAGTTAGGTCGTTGGAGCTTTTAAGTATTTGATTTATTAATTTAGGTCGGTTTTTGGTATTTTTGTTTTGGAGGGCTTGCAGTCCACTTAAGGAGTCGGTAAGTATTTGGATTTTTGTTGTTGTTTTTTTTATTCTTGATTATGGAGGGCTGAGGCCATGCCCATAAGTTCTGCCGTGAATATTGATTGGTTGTTTGGGAGTCGGAAGGATTGTGTGGTTTTAGTTGGTTGTGTGGTATGGACTCCGAAACCTGTGTGTTTGTAGGTCGGATCTGGCCAATTTTCGTGTATGTATGCTAGTGTGGTAGTTTTAGCTATGTTTGGGTCGGTTTGTTTATTTATTTGGTTAGCTAGTGTTGTGTCTATTTTGGGTATTTTAAGTTTAGGGGTGAAGATATTTGATTGTTTGCAGTTTTGTTTAAGATTTTTAATTTGGTGTTCATTTAGGTAGTTTGTTATTCTTTTGGATATTGGGGTAAGTAAGGGATGTTTACGAGCAAGAGCTTGGTTTTTGGGGCTGATGTTTTGGTTTATTAAGTTTTGGATAAGAGGGTTTGATTGGGACGCGGCCCAGAAATTTAAGGTAAGCTGTTGAATGAATGCCATGAGGCAGAGAGCATATATATGTACATTTAAGGACAACACAATTAATAAGATAACAAAAAGTGGAAAATAACAAAAGGTAGAAACTAACAAGGGAAGCCAACAGATGATTGGCGCTGATAGGTGATTAGCAACAGACAATGGAAGCCAACACTTTACAGTAATTAACGCTGATGGTATGGAAGCCAGTACTTAAGTTATCATAGATAAGTAATAGGTAATGGACACTGGGCAAACGGGAGGCCGGGGGTAATTAGTACTGATAAGGTGAAACAATGGACATAGCAAAGGGCAAATTGAAGATGTTGAGTTTATATATGTTTATTTGATAATACATCAAAGATATGGCGATCAATCAAAACACATTTATTTAAATTAATTTGTAATTATTGTTTTGGCTCCGATTGTTGATTTTGTTATGAACCATGATAGGTAATGGAGAACTGACATGGTGAGGTTTGTCCAAATGCACGTGGTGTGCTTTCGTTATATGATTTACCCTTTTATATTTTGTGCAATTTAGACTTTAATGCATATAATTAATTTTGCTGATTAAGGTTATATTTGCTAATTCAGGTTTCATCTGTTCCTTGCATTGTTTGATATGTCTCACCTTGTTATAGCATTGGCAAACTCATATTGAATGTACGGTTAATGGTTTACATGTAACATGTGTAATTGACGTCAGCTCATTACATTATGATTTATGTCCAACATGCTGATAGCATCTGAAACAGTATACCTGGAATTCATATGGTAGATGATTCAACAGCTGAAATTGATGATCCATATCATTGTGTTGTTATGATTCACATTTTTATTGTATGCCACACTGCTGCTCCGGAGTTATGCAGAGTTGCCTCCCCTGGAAACGCCAGGAATCTTTAAATCGAACATGCGGGTTCGAATCCCGGTTATTATGTTTCCAGGTGTATCAGCACCATACCCGTGCTCATGAGTTTCACGAGGGTGTCTGAGACCCGCTACACTTCCTCCCAAATTAAACTGACAACCGTGATATCACTGGAATACTTGGGAAACAGCATGAAAACATCGACCGTCCGTCTCCTCTTTACACATTAGATAATTGCATGTTTCGATGAATTGATTGAACAAATAGGCGTCTTGATACTACACTGCGGACACACCATCATCTTTTCACGGCCACACAATTATGGTAAACATATTTACAAACCAAACCAACTGATGTACATATGTACACATCTTCATTAATTGTAGTCTAAATGAATAACTTTTACCTAATATACTGTCTGAATGCACATGCATTTACATATATGCACGTCCATATTCAAAACGTTGTACATGTACATGTTGTGAAGGTGAAGTTTGCTTGTATATGTATATGTAATTGGCCTCCATTGTCAATGACAATTGAAATCGGATGAAATTCTTAACTTGGCAACCAGGATTTGTTTTTAAGGTTTGGGCTGATATCCTCAAAGATCAAAGGGGCTGAATATATTTTCAGGAAACCAGACTATCTTCTCTTAAAGCATACTTTAAGTCTTGACGAATTAACTGGAACAGTTTCACTCCTGGCAATTACCAATGGCATGTGTTGTAATTAAGAACGTATTGCCTGAATAAATAAATGCCTAGTCGTTGAAATATATATTGTAGTAGACTGTGTAAACCCCAGAGGACTGTTGATGCAAGCTGGTGACGCCAATTTCTACAATAACATTACAATTAATGATTCTGAAAACCACGTAAGGAACATGACTGAGGGTTTATGAATCAGTCATGACATTTTGTTACAGCTACCTGGCGCTTTGTCACTGTGTATCTGAGCATGTTCATCACGAAATGCCACACAATTCTATGTGCTTCTGTAAATTCCAATTTTGAAATGTAGATTAGACATGAAATCAGTTTCTGCCGCCTAGTCATGTATTACTGTAACCATCTTCTTGACAAGGGATGCATAAAATGTCTGATAACGTTGCAGGACATAACAATAATGTTATTCTTCAATAATTTATAACGTGAAAATCATTACCCTTGGAGTTGATAGATGAGATGATATACATTTTCTGTTTAATCTGAATATGCTGTGGCTCTTCTCTGACATGAGAGGCGATGGTCCCGACGAAGACCTGAGTTACATGCCTTACATTTGTGAGAGAAGCCAATTCGTAGCGTCTCCGCTGTGTTATAACATATGTATGATATTTCTTAATGCAGGCGTCTAAGGCGCCGCGATTCGCTGTGCAGAGTTGCGTACCTTGGGTACGCCAGAAACCTCTAATTGTTGGTTCGAGTCCCGGTTCGCCCCGATTATGTTTCTAGGCGTCTAAGGCGCCGCGATTCGCTGTGCAGAGTTGCGTACCTTGGGCACGCTAGAAACCTCTAATTGTTGGTTCGAATCCCGGTTCGCCCGATAAGTTTCTAGGTTTGTCAGCACCATACCCGTGCTCGTGGGTTTGACCAAAGTGGTAAACGTCTGAGACCTGCATCACTTCGGGCTTTCCTCCCACATTAAGCTGACTCGCGGCGATATAACTGCAATACTGTTCACACCGGCGTTAAACCCAACTCACTCACTCACTCACGTATAGGCCAAGGTAGGGGGAGTTGACAAAATCACATCAATGTTATAAGGTCCGAATCATCATCACACGAGCATCTTCTGTCCGATAGCAACCAGTTGAAACTCTCACATTGTACCATTTGATTATTTTGATCATTTTAGCTTCTCTGTGAAAGGGTCACAGATAGATTAAGTCTGTATCGTTTGAAATATTGTTTGAGTGTTTAGAATGAGTGCCAAATTCTTTGTCTTGTGCATCACACAGTCCTTCAAGGTTAAAAGAGTCGGTGCGCGAATAGAATTCAGAAGGAAACTTACAAAGACACTTTACTCAATGATTTGCATTTAGATTTAATTTATATTGACAGAGCAGACATGGGCGTAGATTTAATCTTTTCAAAGGCAGGTTACTCTTAATTCTTCGCTGTTTTCTTAATATCTCATATTGGCAGTTTTACGAGATCGGATTGGTTCGAGTACGGTTTTGGAGAAAATAAGATAATTTGTCTGACTGTATCAGTCGAATACATACGTAGGTTTGGCGATGAGAAACACGACCATACAATAAAATGGATAAGGGATTCCGGTTCCGTGTAGAGTCCTTGCTTGTCTGAGGAGACCAACGTGAAGTGTGGTTACCATTATTGGATGTCATCGTACCCCATGGACATCGACTATTTCTCATACAGTGAGCCTTTGGCTTTACTCGCTTACAACAAGATAAAATCAGGAGACATTATTGGCATCATGAGGAGTCACACACATTCTCAAGTGTTTTCTTGTCTTTATTTTATGTTCGTTGGTATCAGTTTTTGTTTTATTCAAGATGGCGGGTACCCAATTGTCTTAGACTCGTCACACCGAGGGTCCTAATTCTGATTACCAAATCGGTGCAACGTATGAAACGCATTCTTTATTATGGCTAAAATATCACAGCTTGTAAAACTATTCGCACTCATGTAACAAATGTTATATTTGGGATAACACTTTCTTTATAAAGTACAGATTCTCGTACTTTTTGGGGTTAAGTCCCGTCCGGGTTTCGAACCTACACTGCTAGAGTGAGGCACCTATTTGCCAGCATACGAAGTCAGCGATCTAACCCACTCAGCCACCGAGGCTTCCACAAAAATGAAGTCGACAACTGGTAGCCTAGATCACGTACTTTGTGTACCCCTCTTACAAGTTTAAATTGGCCTCACTCTGGCAGTGTGGGTTCGAATCCCGGACGGGACTCAAACCCCCCCAAAATACAAGAATCTGTACTTTACTAATTAAGTGTTATCCCAAATATAACATTTGTTACATTTGACCACTTTCTAAACAACATTGTGTATCTCATAATTCTCACTCATGTTATTTTTATTCCAGCCGGTTGACTCCCGTCGACTACAGTTAGCACCGACGCTCTATCATCAGGCGTCCGCCATGTTGGACATGCTCAGGCGATACAACTGGTCAGACTTCACTGTCGTCACAACGCAGACGTTCGGACACTATGACTTCCTGTCCAGTCTGCGTGCACTTACACGAGAGAGTCAAGAACAGACGAAATATACTTCGACGGGGACAAAAACCTTCAAGTGAGTACTTCACGACTGTCGTAAGGATTTACTGGTAGCTGGACAACAAAACCAATGAGACCCATTTACAATCGGTTTTCCTGTCCCAGCAGACACGAGTTAGCCTAAACATTGAAAGAAAAACTTCAAGGAAAACCCACAGCCTGATTGAATTTTAATCAATTCGGTGGCATCATGGGGTTTCATGTCGCTTTATTGAGTTGTTACGCTTGCAAATGACGGAATGAATGGACGTAACGACACCATTTTGGCTTCGCTGAGTAATGATCGCTCCGCGGGGAAGCTTGATCTAACACGTAGGAGAGGCTCGTACATCGTACATCGCGTTTTCAACGGTTTTGTTTTTAGCTGTGAGGTATTCGAGAAATGTAATTTGGACTTTAGACTTACTCCCTTTTTAACCAAGACTCGACAAATTTGGAGAGTTCTGAAACTTCTTTTTTCGCGTCACATTTCTAAAAATCTTTTTGCATATCTTGTCTTGCTGGTTTGAACAGTTTAACTTTATTGAGCAGAGGCACTTCTGGTATACATTTGGAAAATAATTAAGCACCACCAATATTTTCGTGAATGAGTCAATGTACTTACGGCCTTGTGTAAAATGCTTTCGCTATGAAGGTTTCCAGTGATGTTTACTGCTTCCTACAGTCATCAATCATTGCGAAAGAAAAGGTTTAAATTGGAACAATGACATTCACACTGAACTGTTTGCAGTTTACCAAAAACATGGTGGAAATTACTATTGTTGCATAAAAAAATACTGAACTGTTTCAAACCAGTCTGTGTTAACGGAATCCTAAAGCAATTCAGTAGATACCAGAAGCACATTTCTCGTCAATACTTGGTGTAAGCACCCTGCACACGAACGACTGACGCCAGATGCCCCCTTGTTTCATGAATCAGACGTTGCACTTGGCGTTGAGGTAGTCTAGCCCATTCCGCATGCAAGGCTGCAAGTTCACGGACATTTTGAACAGGTGGGTCCCTCTGGGCAAAGGGGGCGGCCTACAACGTTCCACAGATTCAGATCTGGACTTCTTGCAGTCCTTGGAAATGTATCGTTGGCATGTTGACGTAAACGTTCCAGAACATCACGTGGTCCGTGAAGTCTGACATGTCTAGTAGCCAGCGAATGATTGTCAAAACTGCCGTCGCCATGATAGCATGCTGACATCGAGGTCCGTTCAGAATAATCTGCACAGAGAAACAGCATAAGTCAAGTTTACAACTGAATGAAACACATCCCCACATCATTACCGATCCCCCACCAAATGGATGGGTGTTTATAGAATGCTGTGTGCAACCACGGCTGTATTTGCCTACATGTACCTCCAGACACGTGTACGGCCGTCTGCCACGTGTATCAGAAAAATGGACTCCTCGCCATGATGCAATATTCCAGTTTATACGTTGATTTGACCATACCAAACGACGCACTTTATGGACCTAAGTTCACTAAGGATGTTTGATTGTTCTTCTCGCTCTTCACCCAGCTGCTTTCAGACCAGTTTTGATGGTTCCGGTTGACATCGCTGTGCCTGGAATCCACTGTGTCTTTATTTATAAACTGTATTGTTGTCAAATGGACGTCGTCTTACGGGCCTAAAATATGCTTCATCTTCTCTACTGGATGTCTTGCGACCCTGACCTGGGCGTTGTCTGTGCCTAACTTCATTTGTCGTTCGGTATTTCGCACTAATCTTGAAATTGCAGTGTGATGACGTCCAATTTCCCTGCAAGACATTTTTCATTCCAAGTATCTGCCTTCTTAACGCTTAAGACAATGTGTAATGAACATGCAGCCTGTGTTGAAAAGTGTGTACCTGCAATGTTCATGACCAATACGTGTTCTCAGACATTTCAAGGGCATAATGTAGCACGTGCAGTATGTGCAGCATCATGCCCGATGACAGTGGTCTTGGCAATGGTATAGTACGGAAACGGGCCACACTATCAAATGTGTGGATACAACTTACACATCTTCAAAACTCACCATTCTGGGTCATTTTCATTTTGGTGATGCTTAATTAATTTTCACGTCTAAATTATACATGTATGTGTGTGAGTTAAAGTTTATCGTCACATCGGCAATATTTCAGCCATACCGTGGCGACGTCTAAATTATAATTACTAAACCATGTGTGTGTGTGGGGTGGTGGTGGGGTTGGGGGGGGGGGGGGGGGGGGGGGGTGGTGGTTGGTAAACAGATTTAGCCAGTGTTATGCCTTGGAACTTTACCGTGCAGTGACTTCATAGTTTGAGATTGTGAGGGTGTTTCTCCAATTTACCTTTACCATAACCAAACGGGACCTGATATTCAACTGGATTAAACGGTTTCCCCAAACCTTCAGGTATGATAGACACTGCCTAACCCTTGACAATGTAGCTTTACGTCTATGATTCTTGACAGTATCGCTTCATTTAAACAACAAACAAACAAACAAACGTACCAACTTGATGACGTCATTTTCTTTGATATTACGTCATCGGCTTATCGTGTCATAATTGTCCGGGCCACATTGCCAATGTCGAGTTCACTGTGGGTCACACAAGGACATTTCACACACAATATGTCACGTAATGCTAAATTCGTAGATGTTCAGCAGTGAATTGTACATGATTTTACGAACGTTCGTATACAGTGTTGCGTGGTGTACAAGTGACACATGTGACTATTGGAATGTGGTTGGAAAAGGCAAAGATTATGAACAGTAATCCGTGGAATCGTTCTATTTCAACACCGATGTGTTGACACGTGTGCCAGAAGTTATTTTAAGAGCCGCCATGGAATAGACAGAAACCTGGCTTTATTTAGCACGCAAACAGATCGTTAATATCACGACGCCTCATTCTGCCAGAGCAAATTTAAATATCTTAATTACTTGAGAAAACATACAGAACGGCTGCTGATTTCCTTCAAATGTAAGATCGACTTTCATCGTATTGAACGTGCAAATAAAACACAGGCGCGTGCAGTTTACACCTTTCTAACGCCATCGAGTGAAAGTGATCTTTTTTTTCTGTGACGATCGATATACAAAACATATCAACGAGAGACTTTTCCAATGGCCTTTTGATAGTTGCGTAAAGAGTAATTAAATAAATGGATTAACACGGTTATCTAACGATGCTGTCAAAGGTCGATGACTTTCTGCCTTGATTGTACTTTTACGAGAGCCAACAAGAGTGCCAAGAGTGTAGGAAACGTTAGAAATGGCTTGCGTGGCCTCTAGAGAATTAACTATCAGTAAAACTTCCATTTTTTAATGACACGAAGCAGTAAGATGGACATGATTTCGAGTCTGTTAATACTTATGAACACTTCTTATATTCGCCATTTGTTGATGTATGTCCCAAGGGTGAGCTTGCTGCGGCGTAGTTTCAAATATCTGGGAAACATTTTGCGCATCGATGGTTATTTCAGACCATTGCTTTGAACCAGTGAAAGTGATTTAAGTCATTTTGACAGAATGGCGTTTTAACATTACGAATATTTAGTTTGAAGATTGTTGTTTACATCAAAGTCAAACATGCATGTACCTAAGCAACAGAGAGAGGATAAAACAAATACAAATCTTAGTTGTTCATCTCCTCTAGATTTTGTTTTTGTTGTGCAGGTTCACAATCCTCAGCGAAGTGCTGATCAGTGACGGTAGCAACAATACTGAGGTACTAGCAAGGCTTAACACCGTTGTGAATACCCATACGAGAGTCTTCCTTCTTCACGCAAGTAGGTGAGTCGGGGTGTGTCACGTTGCCAGAAGGTGGTCGAGGTGTGTCACGTTGCCAGAGGGTGGTCGGGGTGTGTCACCTTGCCAGAAGGTGGTCGGGGTGTGTCACGTTGCCAGAAGGTGGTCGGGGTGTGTCACGTTGCCAGACGGTGGTCGGGATGTGTCACCTTACCAGAAGGTGGTCGGGGTGTGTCACGTTGCCAGTAAGTGACTCAGGGTGTAACGTTGCAAGTAGGTGAGTTAGGGTTATCACGTGGTCAGTAGCTGAGTCAGGGTGTGTCATTAGATTAGATGGTGAGTCAGGGTGTGTGACCAGATAAGTTGGTGAGTCAAGGTGTGTCATTAGATTAGATGGTGAGTCAGGGTGTGTCACTAGAATAGTTGGTGAGACAGGGTGTGTCACTAGTAAGTTGGTGAGTCAGGTTGTGTCACTAGATTAGTTGATGAGTCAGGGTGTGTCACTAGATTAGTTGGTGAGTAAGGGTGTGTCACTAGATTAGTTGGTGAGTCAGGGTGTGTCACTAGTTAGTTGGTGAGTCAGGGTGTGTCACTAGATTAGTTGATGAGTCAGGGTGTGTCACTAGATTAGTTGGTGAGTCAGGGTGTGTCACTAGATTAGTTGGTGAGTCAGGGTGTGTCACTAGTTAGTTGGTGAGTCAGGGTGTGTCACTAGATTAGTTGGTGAGTCAGGTTGTGTCAATAGTTAGTTGGTGAGTCAGGGTGTGTCACTAGATTTGTTGGTGAGTCAGGGTGTGTCACCAGATTAGTAGGTGAGTCAGGGTATGTCACATGGCCAGTAGATGAGCCAAGGTGTGTCACATGGCCAGTAGGTGAGTCAGGGTGTGTCACGTGTTCAGTACTTGGGTCAGGGTGTCTAACCTGTTCAGTAGGGCAGGATATGTCACATGGCCTGGTGAGTCAGGGTGTTCGTCCCTTGACCAGTATGTCAACAGAAGCAGAGTAACTGGGACCCAAGCGTCTGTGCATTTAAGGGTGGACATTGCGACTGCTTATGTCAGGAACAAGATACAAGCGTGTCGGTCTCATACAGAAGAGGCTGAAAAATTTAGTAACTGTGATAGCAGGGGAACGACAAGATAGAGTGAGTGAGTATGGTTTTAAGCCGTTTTTAGCAATATTCCAGCAATATCACGGCGGGGGACACCAGAAATGGGCTTCACACATTGTACCCCCATCGAACCCGGGTCTTCGGCGTGACGAGCTAACGCTTTAACCACTATGCTGCCCGACCGCCCCACGACAAGATAGAATGAATAGAGATTAAGAGACAGAACGTGGTGATGATGGAAATTCGTATGTCACCAGTAACTCTGTCAGAGTAGTGGGAATTCGTATAAAGGAAGTATTTTCGTTGAGACCAAGTGTTAAGGAATAGGAGTCAGAGGTATTTGTCACTTCCATGATTGAGACTGCGATTTGGCTTGGAAGACGGAGTGAAGTCATCTGATAGGAGAGGGGGAGGGTTCGGGGAATGAATTAATCTCTCAGGTTGATAGATAGCTCGCCATTACTTACATATCAATCTTAGATCTACTCAGTAAGAGGATATTGCGAGGAGGATATTGGCAATGACTTAAGGTTGGAAAGTTGGTGTGGGGAGATGTTGAATCGATGGGGCTTGTGTTGTGTTGTGTTGTGTTGTGTTGTGTTGTGTTGTGTTGCGTTGCGTTTCTTAAAGCTACGATACTTTGACAGGGTGTGTATAATGGATGTTGATACAGTTCGATAATGATATATTTTCATAGTTTTATACAGGAACAGAAAGGAGATCTTTAGATTGGGGACACAAATTCGTTTTTGTTTTTATTTATTATTCATAAAAAATATGTACATAAATATCTATACAGCATTCGTCCGTAACGAGTTTACAACTTTAATATCACACATGTTTTTAATCTACTTGAATGTCCTGATGAAAAAATGTGTTATGAAAAAGAAATGCATGTTTGGGAGAAGCTGAGACCAAAAACATAATTACACTGTCAAAAAAAGCCAAGCCCCATTATTTTACAGTTTAATGTGTTTTCCTGTATCTGTTAGTCCACAAACTCATTTAGTACTGCACCATGACTGTGGAATATGTACATTTCATAAAACCAAAACCATCTAAATTTATATAAACGTTAGTGTTATTTTAATCAGCATGAGGAAACGAATCTTTGTTTTGAATTTTAGAGGAGAGAAATGTAATAAAAGAGTTCATAGACTATATATTAATCTAAAAATCATCACACGCAATACTTTCACCGTTAACCAACAACTCAAAGGTGACATATAAGACGTTAAAAGATGAAACTTTGTGTAACCCTGCCTGGCATTAAGGGGCTAAAACAAGGACTGGTCGACTCGGAGTCAGTACACTGTGCCTGAGTGGGGTATTCATGTTAAACTGCGGCATGGTATCTCAGTGGGCTGGCACTATAAACATGACTAATACAAGTAGACACACACACGTGCACGCACGTCGCTACATTGTGGAAGAATATTGAACGCGACGTTTAACCCAATTTCACCTCACTTCATGGGTGCAATATGTGAAGCCAATTTCTGGTGTCCCCCGTCCTGATATTGCTGGGATATTGCTGAAAGGGGCGTAAAACCAGACTTACTCACTCAAGCACGCACTCACATATGTCATACACAATAGACATATACAAGGCACTACATACACCCATATTGAAGGTCAGCACACATTCTATTTTATCGGCCCCAACACACGCTATAAAGGACAGCGAGGATTACATGTGATAGCGTGTATACACACCTTTGAACATCTGTTCAGTCTGGTATTACTGGAGGGATCCTTCATCGAATCATCACACAATGACATAATTACTACTGACAGACTAATGCGATTGATGGGATATTTCTTTCGTGTTTTGCAGTTCTGAGTCTAAAAACATCCTTGACGTCGCCGCGAAGATTGGATTGACAACGAAGGATTATGTCTGGATTATCACTTCAACAGCTTTATCACTAGGTTACAATAACCGAGTGGTAAGGAGTTACCCATATGGACTCTTTGGTAAGGAACATATAGTCCAGAAAGCGCAGCTTCAGAAGGCTAGAAATTACAGAAATGTGTTTTATGGGTTGATTTTAAGTCATTGGAACGGAACAGACTACGTATTTAATAGGATTTTTTTATTCTTGAAACACATTACTTAAAGTAATGTTTTATCTACTTTTTCTTGTCCCTTAATCCAAACTGATTATTGATATTGACTTAATGTCACGCGCTGTTACGGTGAACTTCGGTTCCAAATGTAGAGTTTTTAAAGGCACGTCGCATCTGACAGAAATATAAAGTCGAATTTATTCCAGGAGAACCTATTAGCACTTGATGTTGTACTAGTAATGAACAGTTGTGTTTCTGAATTCGTCAAACCAGAAAGTAATGGCAAATCCATTTTGTCTCAAACTGTCTGGATACTATATATTTCTTTTGACGATTTCCATCACAAATCCAGATATTTTTACTCTGAATAAAAAGTGTAAATGTCTGCTTTTGTCATACGTCTTAATGTCGACATAATCATAATTTCAGTCTGTTTTCTGTCACATATATTTCATACTAAAGAAATCAGTTAAATGCTAAAAAGAGTGTCACGAATTGTGTCGAGACGTGTTTCTTCATTGGAAGCAGTGACTTTGAGTTGTAGTGTTATTAAATTTGCATTTACAATCAATGTTCCGTACCGCCAATTACAAACATTGATTCACACTGTTTGAAACATTGTTTGTTTGTTGTTTAACGAGACACAGAGAGATATTCCAGCTATATTACGTCGGCCTGTATATAACTGTGTCTAGGCCAGACGGTCCAGTGATTGATATCGTGGAGAGTACATTGTACGTTGACACGCAATCAACAGTCACTTAGCGGGACCACCCTATCCATTTGGTCTCCTCTCTCGACCAGCAGAGATTGTTGGGGACATTCTAATATAACCCGAAAGGTGAAATCTATTTTTCGTTTGCCCTGTCGTGATAAGCTGGGCTTTTGATTCCATACTCATTCACTCCAAAAGGACCAACACAATGAATACCACTCTAAATCACATGATGATTGAGTGTTCAAAGTATGAACCTTGTATGTTTATTTGTTTGTTGTTTAAAGCCGCACTCAGCAATATTAGAGCTATTTGACGGCGGTCTGTACGAGTCTGGACCAGACAATTCAGCGACTGACATCGTGAGCATCGACCTACGCAATTGGGATACGATGACATGCATCAACCAAGTCAGCGAGCCTGATCACCCGATCCCGTTAGTCGCCTCTTTCGAAAAGCATAGTCGCCTTTTACGGCAAGCATGCGTTGCTTGAGGGTTTATTCTATCCCGGATCTTCACGGGTCGAGTTCGATACCCGACCTGGGTGCACTATGCGAAACATATTCATTAAATTTCTTGAATATTCTCAAAGGCAACGTACAACAATAACTCACTAATTTCATATTCCCTCAGATCCTCCGTGAACAAAGTAGGACACACCTTTAAGATACGTTCATGAGAAAATTATGTTTTCTTATTCAAAACGAATAGAATCATATCTTTTCAGCTATATCGTTTGAGAGTGGTTTGTCAGCAATGAAAGACGCCATAACGTCAGCGCTGACGATGTGGTTTGAGACGATCAACAAAGTGGGTAACGACAGGACCATCAACCTGAACACCAGCTTCTCTTGCAAGGAGACCAAGAGACAGTTCTGGAACGACGGGGGTGACTTTTTCAAGTAGGTTCTTTTGACAACGCTAGGCAAAATCTCCTTTGAGGCTGATAGACGTTAGATGCTGTTCAGAAAGGCAGTTACACATACTCGCTCGCTCAGTCGTTCACGGCGCCCAACTACACCTTGTGAAAGCTCCATTGCTGAGTTCTTTCAATATTTATTTCATATTGGGTTCACAAACGCCTAAAGGTCACAAAGTTTTTTCTTCTTTTGTATAATAATTGTCATACGTAGATCTGTGAAGGGAAGTAACCATTTTCGCTCTTTGCCATTCCTTATTCCGAATGTCCGGCAGCGGGACAGTAGCATACTTATTGTGACACGTGACTATATCTTCAATAATCAGAGTAATGATAACTTCAGAATATTCTACAATGTATGAGCCATGTGATGCTCTTTGAGCCAGACAGTGAAAGCCAATGTATTGCAAACAATATTAATGTTAATGAATTTCAGCTATCTGAAGAATTCGCCGTCACAAGAATTCAATGACACGGGTGTTCTCAAGCACACCTCCCTCCAGATACTGAATATTCAAAGAAGCGACAGGAACTACCCGATAGCTAAGGAAGTAGGTGCACAACATTGTACATACGTACCGTAATGTCATTGCAGGCATCATGTCACTCAGTGTTCCAAGTTTGCATGCTGAATCTCACAATGTCGATCTTGCACATAATGTACATGCACCATGCTGCGACTTTAAGCTTTCAAGGCTTTTACCATATCATGAATTCACAAATACAGTGCTATTTACCACACTGAAGGGATACAGATAGAGAATATGTACCATGCAGGAGTATGCGTACAGTAATATTTACCATGAAGTCGGGGTATGCATAACGAAAGATGTACCAGGCTATCAATATAGGCATACATCGATGTGTACTAGCTAGACTGCCATTGTATGCATACATTGATATGTACCAGACCGGCAATATAGGAAGTCAGTAATATTACTGCCAATACATGGGCATATAGAAGTAATGTACCAGAATGTCAGTGGAGGCATACAGTTATATATACCAGGCTTTCATTATAGACATACATCGATGTGTACCAGTATGCCGACCCGTGAAGATTCCGGGGTAGAATAGGTCTTCAGCAACCAATGCTTGCCGTAAGAGGCGAATATGTTTGTCGTAAAAGGCGACTAACGGGATCGGGTGGTCAGGCTCGCTGACTTGGTTGATGCATGTCATCGATCCCAATTGCGTGGATCGATGCTCATGGTATTAATCACTGGATTGTCTGGTCCCGACTTGATTATTTGACAGACCGCCGTCATAAAGCTGGAATATTGCTGAGTGCGGCGTTAAATAACAAACAAAAAAAAACAAAAAAATCAAACCAGTATGCCAATATAGACATTCAGCAAGATTCATCTTGATGTCGGACTTGGCTTCAACTCTGTCAGGATATTCACACAGTGGTATGTAACATAATGTCAGTATAGACATATCAGTATATGAACCGCATATCAAGATAGATAATCACACCTACAGTACTAACAGGGTGGACATACACATTTAGACAACAGTTTGCGTTCATATATATTTCTTTGTTTGCTCTAATTATGTAAGCTTGTCAGTTTAACTTAGTACACTACATCGTCTATGCATCTGGCAATCAGATTCTGTGACGCACGTAATAACGCAGTTAGGCTCAGGGTTACCTAGGAACATATTTTCTACTTGTCTTTGAAAACGATTTGGAACATTTTTTTCCAGTTAGATTTTTTGTATTAAGGAACGTAGATCACAAAGCATGTTTTTTTTCTAATACTAAAATGCGAGTTAAGCACTTAATATAATTTTCAATCTATACAAACACGCTAGCCAAGACTTAATGTAGTTCCCGTAACACACTATTACCGACCTGATGAACTATCCAGACAAACAGAGAATGTGAAATTCAACGATTATCAACATGCAAACAGGAATTAGATTTCAGATTGAAGTCAATGGTACATGTAAACATTAATTAACAAAGTCATTTTATTTGTAATAAAATTTTTAAGCAGTTTATCCAAAGTTTCGGATGTGTTGTTTTTGTTTGTCATGGATTTAAACGCCGCATTCGCAGTATTCCAGCTACATGATAGCGGTCTATAAATAATCAAGTTTAGATCAGACAATCCAGTGATTCGTCTCGCCAGTCCCTCGTTTATCGTACGGACTGGCTAAAGGGGATCTGGTGGTTGATGTGTTCGATCTTGGTAATTGGGTGTCATTTGCCAAAACAACGTTGATCATGCGATCACTCTCCGGCTTCCACTACACTCAATCAAGTATGTACATGGCGCGGAGAAAAGCAATACTGATTCACTACAGTGGCAATATAAGGCTAGTATATGCGGCCCGGTTAGGCAAGACATCTTAGGCGCCGCAATTCCAAGTCCAAATGTGCGTCCCTGAGATGGGCGTTCCTCACACGTGTACATGTCACGCTGTGATACAACTGAAATACTGTTGAAAGCGGCGTTACACTCACTCACTCACTCACTCACTCACTTGTTGTAACCCCGCCTCGTCATTAAGGGGCTAAAACAAGCTCGAAGTCAGTATATTGTGTCTGAGTTGGGTATTGATGTTAAACTGGTATGGCATGGTATCTCAGTGGACTAGCAATATAAACCGGCATTAGTCTTGACCGATACAACTAGACACACACACGTGCATGCACTTCGCTACATAAGTGCAAGAATATTGAACGCGACCTCATTTCACCTCACCTCATGGGTGCAATGTGTGAAGCCCATTTCTGGTGTCCCCCGTCCTTATATTGCTAGAATTTTGCTGAAAGGGGCGTAAACTCACTCACTCACTCACTCACTCACTCACTCTTGTATATGTACAGGTCGGGACCTGGACCAAAGACGGTTTAGTCATTCAGGGAATCACATGGCCGGGAGAATCGACGGAACCTCCAAAAGGAAAACCCGAGAAGTACTTCCTCCGGATAGTCACATGGAAGGAAGACCCATATGTTATGTACCGCGACTTCGACAACAGGACAGGCATGTGTGAACACAATGCTGTGGCGTGCCGGGTGTATTCCAGGAATGACAGGAACGAGAGGTAATGGAACATCATGTAACAACACCATTATTAACTTATAATTTTCGTATGTGCAATGTATCACAACCACCTAAATTCACAATATTCAACTGTATGACACACTTCATATTGACAGTGAAACAGAATATAGCCAATCGAAACTGCGCACAAGGCCGAACACGTTTCCAAGCAGGTTCATGTCCGCTGTTCACTTGCCCATCCAACCACGTCACGACGCTCGCAATTGTCTGGTTTTGTTAATTAAGGACATATAGAAAACTGTTATGTGTCACATTTAGATCTGACTAGGGTGAGTTGCAAGACGTATCTATGCAAAATCTAGACAATACGAGCAACTGCTTTTGTAGCTAGCATGCAAAATAGAGGTTGTACTTCATTACCTGCCAAACCTTCATCGACAACAGGCAAGGGATATGGTTGCGGTTAGTTTCGAAGAAGTCATAAACTGTTGCATCAAATGATTGCATAGCTCGTATAAGCTCCATGCTTCTTAGAGGGCAGTAAAGTAACGGATGTAACTTTAGATCCACGCCTGAACGAAGTTTCCAAAACATCCAGTAAAGCCAGTTCAATAAAGCTTAAGCCAGGAAACACCGGACTCTACTTCGTACATTTTTACAGAACGTATTTTTAGGCTTACAGGGGTTGTCCAGATTTTTTTAAACAGTGATGTAATGCATATTGACAGCGGCATTAGCACAGGCGTTCAGTTCCATTAGCTGAAATGGTACTTATGCTTCACGAAAGCAATGTTTACTCACGTACTTAAGATGGGGAAATTGAATAACGCATTTGCTATATGCTGTATGTGTTTCCTACTACGGCAAAGCAGGTTTATGGGGCAATTGGGCTTCGGAAGATGTAAACACAGGACAACGCTTTTCCTCGGTAGAAAAAAATCAATACTCTCAGTTTATAATGAATCCGTCAACTATTTATCATTTGGAAATAGACAATTAGCTATCCGGGTAGTCATAAAACGTTTATGATGTTTACACAGTATTGCTCATTATATACAAGATGAATATTGCTTTATGAAATGATTGAATCTTTAACTGGAATCATAACGTGACTCAAGATAGCATTATTGTGTGTCAATTGCGTGTTTTAACAGCTCGTTATATTGTAAATATCCGGTTTTCGGTTTTTCATTTCTGAGACTGACAACAGAAAGCCATCAAAAATGAGAAATCGACAAATCGTTAAAAACGTTACCATCTTCAAAGGCACATGCTACTATTTCCCGAAGAGAGTTGTCGGTGATACTTCAAATAAACTTTAAGCAGAACGTTCCAGATCAGTTTTGGATTAACAACAGAACATGAAGTTGATCATGACTTCAAATATTTTTATCGCCGTCACAAAACTATTATACATCATGGACTGAGATTCATTGAGACGGAGAAAGGAATCCGGTTTGGTTCTAAAACCCCTTTAAACTGCTCAAGATCAAACATGGAGGCATGCTTGGGGTCACTGCCGTATTCGAAACACGGAGATATATCACATTACCTTTATTTGGGCGTACATTTTCCAGGATCTTCCTTTTTGGATTTTTTTATTGAGAATACAGCTGTCAGTCAGGATTAGGGTAAATGTCATCCTTCACGTTCCAATCGATTTTAACTTTTCTTTGACTTGGTCGGCAGTCGAGTTTTTTATTGGCAATATGCATCTTTACTGTGACCCAGACGTAACAAAGCTACGAGTGTTCAGCAAACCTATTGTTTCACAAACACCGTCTCAAATTCCTTATGAATATGGAAAGGGGTTTTGTCGCTTTTTATCCATTTTAACTTCTAGCCAAATATGGTAGCCATACCTTACCTTCAGTTCTTCAGTAGCATAAGCCTATTTCCGATACATATATGTAATTCATATTCTCACAGGTCGACACCATACATCAGGGTACTGTGAGTTTATGAATATTGTCGATTCCTTTTGGGATTTTTTTCCATTTGTGCTTTTCGTGTGACAGATATGAATATGAATGTCCCTAAGGCTGATGAAGGTGTGGAAGTTATTCCATTTTCTCTCTCGCCCAGAACGAGCAACGTTACCAACACCACCTGCTGCACGGGCCTCAGCATTGACATCCTGCGCATATTCGCCGAGGAGTTAAATTTTGACTTTGAGCTTTTTGAAGTTGCTGATGGTCAATGGGGTGCAGAAAACTCGGTAAGGTTCCTCCGAAGGATTGACTAGAATGGACAGTGGCTTGTGTTTGGAAACATTAAGATATATTCATATACTACATTTTTGACAAGTATAAAACACTTGTTTGATGTTTCAGATATAGTAGAAACAATGTTTGGAAATGATAGGACAATATTAGCTATCCAAGCTTTTCTGACTGTTTTAAGATGTTTTTCATACGCGGTGCTACATTCGAAAATTGTTAAGTTTGTTGAGCTGACCATTATGTCATGTGTTTTTATATATTTGTGAATTGAATAATGCGCAAGCATTATATGCATAATAGTCGGTTTAAGTTCTAGCAGTTCTAGCTATGAATGAATGGTAGAGTCTAGCCTGGAAAATGGTTCTGTTTCCTTAATCCGTTAATGGAAATATCTGCGTGACCATTAACCAACTGACTAAACAGGAGACCCGTGAAGATCCGGGGTAGAATAGGTCTTTAGCAACCCATGCTTGCCGTAAAAGGCGACTATGCTTGTCGTAAAAGGCGACTATGGTTGTCGTAAAAGGCGACAATTCTTGTCGTAAAAGGCGACTAACGGGATCGGATGGTCAGGCTCGCTGACTTGGTTGATGCATGTCATCGATCCCAATTGCGTGGGTCGATGCTCATGATATCAATCACTGGATTGTCTGGACCAGACTTGAATATTTACAGACCGCCGTCATATAGCTGGAATATCGCTGAGTGTGGCGTTAAACAACAAACCAACCAACAAAGACTAAACAGGAAAGTCTGAATAATAACATTCTAGCTTCTCAACACAACCAAACCAAAGACGTTATAGATGATTAATACTTCAGTGTTGATAATGTTTATATAATTGAACTGTAATATTGTTTGTGAAAAACTGACGGATGACATGGTAGATACAACCTATGGATAATAACTATTTTATGATACTGTTACAGCGACGTATCGGTACAGATACTAATACTAAGCTGGTGTCTACTTTGAACTGTTATATGTTATATGCCTGTTATGGTGAGATTTCTTCATAATGCCCTTGCATCACGTGATCGAGTTATATAGGAATCCTATTTTCACAGTATACCAAAGAATGGAATGGCATTATCGGTGTTCTGAAGGAGAACAAGGCGGATATGGCTGTGACGTCCCTGACGGTGACCCCAGAGAGAGCCAAACAGATCGACTTCTCCGTGCCCTTCCTTGAGACTGGGATAACGATAATGGTGTCCATTCGGGACGGGAAGATCTCGCCTACAGCATTCTTAGGTAACCACTTGGGTCCCGTCGGCTTATTCTGCTACCTACAAAATGCCTCGGGCAGTAATGGAGTAGGGACATTGCAACAATTCGACCAAGCTGTTGAAATAAGTCAAGGATAAAACTGAGTGGGTCTTGAATTACTTGATTCAAACTTGCCAGGACAGACAACTGCCCCGAGCGTCGTCTCCGTGTACTCTATAGGATGGGGTGATGCATTTGCAAAGAAATATATGTTCGTGTATACAAAGCGTTTAAGTGACGTTTTGTCTTGTAAAGGTCATGGTCGTGCGTGCTCTTGGTGGAAATGGGGAACCTATTCGGATTCTAATAGTGAGAGAGACGACGTGGTAGCCTAGTGGTTGAAGCGTTCATTCGTCACGCTGAAGGCCCGGGTTTCATTCTCCAGAGTGTACACTGAGTGAATCCGACTCTCGGTGTCCCTCGCCGTCATATCGTTTTAATAGTGCTAAAAGCAGCTTCAAACCATTTCACTCACTCTATTGTTTTTTTGTTTTTGTATCTCCGCTTTATACAGCATTCAAATTATATCAACGAGTGTCAGCCTGATGTTGGGAAAAGTCCGAATATACCACTTGGGTGAACCCACTAGCTCGGGTGTGATGCTGCGAAACCACGAAACATAATTAGGGCAAGACTTGGATTTGAACCCACAATCAAAGGTTCCTGACTAAGGGATGCAACTCGGTCGAAAGGATGTGGATCTCACGCTTGTTTTTAATACGAAGGGGGGTAACAGATGGTAGCGTATATGGTGTTTTATAGAGAAATAACATACATCCTATATTGATATCGCTGGTAGGGTGACCGGGGACCGACGGAGAGTCAGGGATGGGACACCAGACGTGTACTTGTATAGTAGTACGTGTGCCTCTTTTGGAGTGAGGTATCTAAATATAAACGACACAGTACTGTTCCGAAAATAGCATAAGCATGTGAATCACCATAAAATAGTGATGATGCCATGACCAGGTGTTGGTGGAAGAGCGAGCGTATCCTGCACATGTTCCTAAAAGGCGTAATTGCAATATGTTCTTGTACAGGGAGAGAAAGACACTGCTATTGTATAAAGAGGTGAGGTGAGGTGAAAATGGGTTTAACGTCGCGTCCAAGATTATTGCACTTATATAGCGACGTGCATGAACGAGTGTGTGTGGCTGCCTGTACTAGTCCGGGCTGATGCAGATTTATAGTGCTAGCACACTGAGATACCATGCCGCAGTTTAACATGAATACTCCACTCAGACACAGCATACTGACTCCGAGCCGACCAGTCCTTGTTTTAGCCCTTTAATGCCGAGCGCCAGACAGGGAAACAACGAGTACCATCTTTTAACGTCTTTTGGTATGACGCGGCCGGGGATCGAACCCCGGACCTTCCGCTCTCCGGGCGGACGCTCTACTACTAGACTCCGGAGGCGGTCTATTGTATAAAGAAGATTACACCATTCACATATGGGTTAAATGCATACATCGAGCAATAGAGAGGTCAAAGCATCTACAGGCAAGCACGTACAACAAGGAAATATGTTGTTGAAATATGACAACCTCGCATATACTGGTATTCAGATATGGCTTTTCTTTTCCACAGGTATATGTGCGCTCAACGTCGTTTTGAGACCGTTTACAAAATGTTTATCATTATTAGTTTGTTTGTTTGTTGTTTAACGCCGCACTCAGCAATATTCCAGCTATATGACGGCGGTCTGTAAATAATCGAGTCTGGACAAGACAATCCATTGATTGACATCATGAGCATGGTTCCACGCAATTGGGATACGATGACAGTAAACACTTTCCACTCTCAATCAAAGATGACAAGATGTTCTGATCAGGGTTACAATCTCATCCTTATTAAAGCTTTCAAAAGGTTTTATGGTATGCATGTGCATGAATTTTCAATTCAGTGACTAAAATTAGGTCCGATGCAACACCGTTTGTTCCCGTGTTTGTTCAGAACACTTGACCTGCCTTTGCATGTGTTTCTGTCGGGTGACACAGATGGTGCAGGATACGCTGACCTTTTCGATCACGGACAACTAGTATCATCACTATTTGACAGTGATCCTAATCCATGCTTATGATAAAGTCGGAGTCGCACATCTTATATCGGGCACACGGGTGGCCCAGTCGTCTAAGGCGCCGCGATTCGCTGTGCAGAGTTGCGTCCCTTGGGCACGCCAGAAACCTGCGATTGTGGGTCCGAATCCCGGTTCGCCCCAATTATGTTTCTAGGTTTGTCAGCACCATACCCGTGCTCGTGGGTTTCACCGAGGTGGTAAACGTCTTAGACCTGCATCACTTCGGGCTTTACTCCCACATTAAGCTCGCACGCCATGATATAACTGGAATAATGTTAAAAGCGGCGTTAAACCCAACTCACTCACTTCCTCACTCACATCTTATATCAGAGAAATGTTATAAATTGTAAATGGGTCGTGTCGTTCACATTGACTTGGTTTTGTGTATTCGTAAACATATTTGTGCTACGGTAACAGCGGCATCGTGTTGGACGATTGTATGCATATTTATGCTGACGACTATTTGCAAATGTCCTTACACAATGGTGCAACATAACCAGCGTGGAGAAAAATATAATTATCAAATTTTAGTGCATGTAAGATAATAGCAAAACACCTCGCAATGACGTCGATAGAATGAATCACTCCCAAGGCCCTTCCCTTCAGAAAAATGTTGATGATGACGAAAGCCTTGGACGAGGGATGAGATGATGTTTGGCTGCCTGTGATTTTTAGCCTGTCGTGTCGTGATGCCACGATAACGCTTTATTTTCATTACATTCCCTGCGAAATGTATTAGCCGGACTGGCATGTCTATCATGACTTTTTCTGAAGCGCTTTGATTGAAAGTGTTGAGAGAAAAATCATATGTGCCGAAATATTGCTGTCATTATGAGGAAGAGTGTGTAATACTCTTTTTACATAAATAATACGCTGATGGTAATGCGATCAGCAGCAAAACTGGCCTGAAAATATGTCACCTCCCAGTTCCTTATAATTCCCTTATCATTTGCAGTAACTCCTACTTTTTATAAACGGACAAACCCATAGAGAATTAACGCTTTCTAAAACATATTTATATTCATATCATGACTGACAGATGCACCTTATTGCGATGATGACCGTAAGCCATTACTATTCGCGTGAAATTGGCACATATCTAGCTGGGTGTTTGCACCTCGGAAAGGACTGTTTGGGTTGGCTTGATATTCGAATCCTCCATCAGAGAATTGATGGCAACTAGACTAAATTTAAAACGTGAAGCCAGAGAATAACCGATCTCGATTTCCACGAAACAGATTACATTGGGCGTAAAAGGCGAAATAGCAGGGTAAGGACCACAAGTGCGATCAACAAGCTGTGATACTTTAAACTCCCATGGTCCCGAATGACAAAAAACCTTGTCAACAGCAACAGCTGTTTTGCCCACATCTTTTTAATCTCTAAGTGTCGATTTCGCCAAAGGATCATGTTTGATTGCCAAAGCTTGAAATGTCTTTTCTTGCAAACATATACAGATTATTTATGGTATTCTGAACATGAGTGCGTTCTTTAACTGAAACATAATATTTTAAGTTGATCGAAAGTCTGATGCCTATTTCACAGCAAATACAAGATACATGTGTTTTAGGTAGACATGTGGAGGACATTTCCAAATTTGACACATGAGTGTAACTCCCTATTTTTGTCTTGCACGATATCCCGTGTTTTATTCAGGTGAACAATTAACTTGCCTTTGCATGTGTTTGTGACCCCGATGAGGCAGGATACACTCACTTTTTCGCGAACACCTTGTATCATCACTATTTGACAATGATTCATAAACACATGCTCAATGACATGATATAGTCGGGATCGTACAATCGACTCTGCTTTTGGCAGAGATTTCGTAAGAATGTGAGAAGGGTTTAATCGCTTTTATTGCAATAACTAACGTTTTAGCTAACTAAGATTTGAGAATCTAGTAGCATAGCATGCACAGCCTATGTTGGATACTCACTTATTCAATTATTGTTTATTTAATATATTTGGTGAATATACACAAAACTACCGTGCGAAGCTTTTAATCAGTCGATGCAAATAATAGGGCAATATATCTCCATGGATAGACGAATCAATACATGGATCATGTCAATCAACAAGCTCTAAACCTACTCTGAACTAAATGAACCATATGCGTATAACAATATCGTAATATTAAATTGTCACCATTCTCTTTCAATTTAACGCCAAACTATAAATCTATAAACATCACACATTTAATAAAGTCTGATAATTATGATTTATGAGATATGTGCCTGGCAATTATTACATATCAACGCAAGATACAATAATTTGAAAAAAATATCAGTGCAGCCTACGGTTCCACGATATAACCTGCTTAACGTGGCATCATCTCACATTCAGCATTGTTGCTCAGTCACACTAATCTCTTCTTCCTATGCGGAAGCTTCTAATGCCCATTAAGCCATGTTTAAGTTTGCAGCGATAACTCCACAAATTCTATCATTATTTGGTGTCGCAGGCAAGTATTTACGAAGCCAAGACACCGTCCCTGTCCTCGAACCCGTTTTTACTTGCGACTGATGATTAACGTAGGAAGCTGAAGAAGTCCAACAAAAGTTGGTATTGATTAAAGAATGAAACTGTAGCGCCCTGATCCGGACAGAGTTTATCTCTTTACAAGCAATGGACGTTCTTTTAAATTCTGATTCAGGGAAGCCCGACGTCGTTTAGATGAAGGCTTTTGCCTCGCAGTAAATGATTTTTTATCCTTGTGCAATAATGACATCCCTGGTTCCTTTGTTTGATGTTGGTTATTTGATAATTGGTTGAGGATGCGAAAGGGGTAACATATAAAAACTCTCATGTGAGCGATATGATGCGAATTCCTGTTCTAATAATTAAATATTGTCGTGACTACAAAGTTATAAGTGGAATTTTGAGAACAAACTTTCGCCCTTCGGGGAAGACTTCAGCAAGTCCTAGCAATATTTCCCTGGTTAATAGAAGTTTGTAGCAAGCCTGTTTCCTTTATCCTTTTGACAGGATGTCTTTCTCGAGTCGGATAGAGATTGTTTTGGAGAAATGCCAATATTATAAAACTTTCTTTATAGTGTCCTGTCAATGGCGCAGAATCAAATACGTATAAATATGTCAGTTTCTGGTTCTATTATGACGAATCTGTTGATTGTTCTGTTGACAATGTCATTCTTGGATGGAAGTCACAAGCAGTCGTGAATTCTTCATTCAGATAGAATAAATGAATTTGCTTATTGCATTTCGAGAAATAAACCTTTCAAATCCGCTTGATAGCGACACTATCACTCCACAGAATTGTGAAAGTGTTCTGAGAAGTGTACTTACTCGTAGACGTTTTAAGTCGCCCAAGTCGATATGTTGGTTTATGTGTAGGTATAAAGGTCAGGCCAGCAAGCCCGGCATTCCCTGAAGATCCTAATTACTGTACTTACTCTCCGTTGTGGGGGGTCTATAAAGTCATTTAGTTCTCTGCAGTTAACATATTGATATTTAGTATGCTATTATATGAATATATCTCTTCATTAAGTCAAATATATCAGCCGGAAAGGCCGAAATGGATATGTGTGGACGTGTATGGCCAAGTTCATTATGTTACATTATGTGTAGCCAGGAAACTTGTTTAGTTTCATTATTTCCTATGTTCTAAATAGTTCACTGTAAAGATGGGATAATTGTTTCTATTATTTTATTCATCAGTAATATAACATAATAGGGACCTACGATTAGGCCTTTAGATATACGAGACGTTGAGAAGTTCTCTCAATTTGTAGATTAAGAACTTCAAATTATGAGTAAACCTGTGCGCAAACTATCCGATTCAAGTTGAGCGTAAAAGGATAAATCATTCATAGACACATTTGGTACTTGGACCATGTTCTATTAGACATTTTTACATGTAAAATTCACAGTATTTCTAAAAAATAAATATTTAATGGTCCAATGGAAAAGAATAGACTTACGTATTCCTATTACATAAAATGATTCGATAATGATTTTTGCAATATCTATTAAAATTCTCATGACACCAAATAAAATATAATCAAATATCAATTCCTTAACCAGAAATGATGTTTTTAGCACTGAACGTGAAATAAATAACGGCTTAATACTTGACATTAACATATTTTTGTAAAAGTCAAGTTATTGGCAATGGACATAGCCCCGAATTGTCAGTTTATCTTCAAAGACACACTTTTTAACATGGGTTACGGTTCCAGTGAGTCTACATAATGCTGGAGATTAGGTTACATTGATGGGTGATTTGTAGTAACTGTACATGCAACTATATTTCTTGCAGGTAGTATTAGAATATGATATTTAGGGGTAGTGCCCTGTTATTCAATTACCAATCTCTGAAACAGGAACCAAGGTAGGAGATGGTTAATGACAGATTGCAGTAGGTACATTGTGGGCGGTCGGGTAGCCTAGTGGTTAAAGCGTTCGCTCGTCACGCCGAAGAACTGGGTTCGATTCCCGACATGGGTACAATGTGTGAAGCCAATTTCTGATGTCCCCCGCCGTGATATTGCTGGAATATTGCTAAAAGCGGCGTAAAACCGTACTCACTCACTCACTCACTCAGTAGGTACATTGTCAACTGCAGATATTAAATGGACTACGGCAGATAAACTGTAAATGATAGATTGTAATTGGTTGATTGTCATGGGTAGGTGGTGGATATTGTACATGACAGATGTTAAATGGCAATGCATAACAAATTGTAGATAGCACATTGCAGAATGTGGATTGTATATTTAAGACGGTTAGTGGTATACGGTAAATGGTTTTTGTTGGTAAATGGTAGATGGCAGAAGGTAAATGATAGATGGTAGATTATACATGGTAGATAGTAAAGGGCAGATGATGGAGAACAGTAGACTTTAAAAAGGGTGAAGCTTCTCTTCCATTACATTCATCCTAAACTTGAATATTTTTTTCAGAACCGTACGACTATCCATCTTGGTGTCTTATACTGGTGTTCAGCGTCCATGCGACCGGGGCCTCCATCTTCATCTTCGAGTGGCTCAGTCCCTATGGCTTGGATCAGGGGAAAACACCCTTGAGAGGTAACTAAGGTAAATCTTGGTGTCAGAGCTTTATCAAAGGTAATGAGAGCAAAGAGGAGACACGGACCAACACAGAGCGGCTTTTCAATGACCCACTTGAAACCTGGCTGTCGCTAATGAGGCGCAGAAAAACATGGACCAAGAGGGATGTGGAGCAGCTTCAATTACTATAGTTTTGTGTGTACGGTTACAGTGAGAATTACCAACCTTGGTCGGCAGATAAAGCCAGGAGATGGAGGGCGGCTCAAGAGGGATTCCCGGCACTCAAGGGGGAACAATCAATCCTATGTCAGACGGTTAGACAACGTAGCCGGCCGTGACTGCTGACGGCAACCATCGTCGCCGGCAGAGAGACAGGAGAGGCTGGATCTGCTTCTACGATTGAGGAGTCTGTGATTGATTATTGCTGTGTTAGTCCAGCTCTGCCAAATATTGGAATCTCTTAACAAAGGCCCATCAACATAGTTCTAACATTACAGAGAGATTTATCATGAATGTTAGATGATTTGATGGGATAAGAAAATAAGAAGAACTGTATGGACAGGCCCATATATGTTATGTACCAATTGCTGCTGAAAGGATTAGTATGACATTTTCACTCAGTTAAGTAGATAAAAGAGCAGCATTTAGTGCCAATGTTCTCAGTAATTCACAATATTCGGATAAATCACGTCTGTTTATGTAACAAATGTATGATATGTTATACCTTTTCCTTGCAAGATATTCATTATTACTGTTTTTTATTGGTAAAAGTTTGGGACACATTTAAGGGTGAGTAGATGCTTCAATACGCCGGGTCAAGGTGACGCTGTCATGAAGTAAAGCCGTTCGATTTTCAATGTTTAAAAGAATGTCTTAGTGAACATGCTAAGTGATATAATCTGGGTTTGAGGGCTTCTTCTTCACAGCACAATGATTAATAGTTGTGAAGGAGACACAGTTGATTATATTCATAAGCCCTTATGACGTTCCCTTGGTTTCAAGTCTAAGCATATCCTTCAATACATGATAGTCATAACCTTATAACTCAGGATGTCTTCAAACTTGACGTGGATTTGTTATCTTACTCCAGTTCTAGATATGGTCTTGCAATTACATGATACGCCTTCTTTGAAGGTTTCAAAAGGAAATATGCCCCTGAAAGTGAAAATATCCTGACAAACGGGACAGGTCGTTCTGTGAAATCTTAATTAACTTGGGCACTATGTTAGAATAGTCAGTTGTTTTTTCCACATTCCCTTCGAGGACAGGTCGTTCTTTGAAATCTTTATTACCTTGGGCACTGTGTTTGATCACAGTCAGTTGTTGTTGTTTTCCACATTCCCGACGAGTTCATCGTGTGTAGAAGGGGCATTCGGTACGGCTTTCAATGAAAACATGTACAATAGCATATGATACACATGTGAGTTAAACACTAACCCCCTTTATCTAGAAAGACTGATATTTTCAAAAAGAATAAGTGTGGGTTAGAATAAACCTTGTTCTGAACATCTGCCCTCGTGTAATTTGTGGCTAAGGTTGCAATTTATAACCACCACAGCGGAATATGTAAAAATGCTTTAATCGCTTTAATCCTACTATATTCCAGACCACAAGTTCTCTCTATTCCGGTCGTTCTGGCTAATATGGGCCATGTTGTTCAGTGCCGCGGTGTCTACAGACACTCCAAGGGGCGTCTCCAGCAGGTTCCTTTCCAATTTGTGGGCTCTGTTTGCTCTTGTGTTCCTGGCCAGCTACACTGCCAACCTGGCAGCCTTCATGATCACCAAGGAGCAGTACTATGACCTCAGTGGCATTAAAGATTGGAGGGTACGTAGTAGTAATCAGGTACCTCTGTAAGGCATACATGTATAAAACAAGTCCATGAAGACAATTTAGAGAGGACAAATCTTATGATAGGTTTTAGTCATGTTCAAGTGCCTGACAAGCATTATTCATAATTTCAAAGTTACCAGTAGAGTCATGTGGCAACATCACTTTTCAAAGTTCAAGAGAACCTCTAATTATAAGCAAATCCGTGACCAAAGAAGCTTTCATCATATGTTCTTAATGTCTGTACCTACTATCTTCGGGAAACCAGCTTGTGACAAAAACCTACCCATGTTCAAATTATGATGTTTTGAAAAGCTTCCAAATCAGCTATCTGACGCATTGAGCCTTGTCTCTGCATTTAGAGCCCAAACTATGCCAAAGTCTAAATCACATCTATGTGAACACATCTGATAACTCTATTACAATAATGGCTTTTCTCATTTCTTTATTCATAAAGGGCCCTTGTCACAGAAGACAGTGTTCCTACATATTGCAAGTTTTGGTAATTGTGCATATATACAGAAAGCTATTCCATACTGTTAAATGTATGATCAGACATGCATGTGCGTTAAACTATGTTTCAATGTACACTAGTGTAACAGTGCAACTGTGCGTGTTTTTACTGATCATTTACACAAATGTCAGATTAGTTCATAGTAACAACCGACAGAGTCTGGACACAACTGAATAAGGGATTTATACCAGAATGCCTATGATCAGTTATGACTGAAAACGAGAAGAGGGCTTAACAAAATGCCTCAAAGCAACTGAACAGGGACGTAATCCCAGCTACTATGATCTTAGGGAACATATAATCGGATATTAAATCAAACATCATTCAAGAATTTACATACTTTTTAAGAGAATTTATTTCTTATAACGAACAACAAAAAGAACATAACTCTTTTTTAAACCCATAAATGTATCTGTAAAGTTTTACTTTATTTTATAAGTATTGTTTCATCCGTGTATTTTTTCCTTTTTGTCGTTTCAACTTTTTTTGCCATAACATTACGTGAAATATCCGTTTTAAATCCCCTAATGGCGTCATTGATGTAAAGTATCCCTTTCCTGAAGGTCTTATTCAGATTGTCATGGTAACTGTCAATGTCGATATACATTCAGATATAACTGTTGAAGAGCATTTATATTTAAATAGTATATTAATAGTGCAGTTGCACTGAAGTTTTAGTAGCTTCGGCAGCTGTGTTTGGTGATGCTGCCTCTTTCGGTTCAAGATTTTCGATTTGTTTTTATCACACTTAATACTTTTTAGGCTGTGCATTTGCTTCAGTAATTGACAATACAACATTAGATTAAAAATGAGAAAGAATGCTTCATTTCAAAACGGAAGCAAAATAATGTTTCCACAAATGTAATGTCAAAGTGCCTACTGTGAATGCTTCCAAACTGTCGGCTTGGAATTAGAGTGAATTTGTGAACTGCCATAGTGGCTCCATCCAAGACTTGTCTTGGTCAGCGGGGAGCGGCGAATGGCATGTAAAATACGGATTTGACAGACATCAGAGCCAAATGTCTCTTGACATCCCCGATGGCGTCATTGGCACAAAAAAAACAGCCGTAAACTCAGACATGTTATTGCTAGCGATGAGCTGCAAAAACGTAACTCAAGATTGCTCATAGTGTTTTGCTTATTTTTTTCCCTTCGTCTTTGACAGCTACGAAACCCGCATCACACGAAGCCGCCATTTAAATTTGCTACTGTGCCGAATGGTAGCACTGATCTGAACATGAGGAAGAATTATGCTGAGATGCACGAATATATGAAGAAATATAACAGACCGACCGTCCAGCAAGGGATAGCAGCACTGAAGAAACAGTAAGAATGAAAATTAAACATGTCATGGTTGATAAATGCACTGGGGCCTGAAGTGTGAAGTTGGCGTGAGGTTTAACCAACGCCGCTTTGAACAAAGAGTATTCAAGTTATTTTACGTTGTGCCGTCTTAATGTCGGAGCACCGTTTTAGACATGTAGTGAAACCCGCGCACAGGTATGGTGCTAAGAAACTAAGGATCATAATAGGGCTGAACTTGGGATTCGAACCCATGATCATCAGATCCTGGCATTTTAAGGGACGCTAAACAAACTCCATCAAATTGCATGTGGGCCAACCGTGCCCCATCCTACACTCCATGTATCAACGTGTGTATGTCTGTGTAAAGATTTATAAAGCAGAGTTTGACAACATGTTTATGCGGAAATGTGATGGCAATCAGTTTGGTCTTATCTGTCACTGACCATGACTTTAACACACGTGAGTTTAGGTTTACAAATGTTGATTGCATTTACTTTGGCATATTCAGTTTACACTGACACATCATAGTCGAAGTGTTGTTTTTTTCTCGAGATTGCCACTTAATCAGTACGATACTTTTTTGTTGCCATATAAGTAAGGAAACAAAATGAACAATAACGATGTCGCTTGTTTAAATATTTAAAGAAGTGTTGTTTTCAAATCCACAATCGTCCCAAATCTTCATATTCGTTACACCAGTTTTTATCTCAACCCTGTTAGGAACACGGGTGTCCAAGTCGTCTGAGGCGCGGCAATTCGAGTGACGTCTCTTATGCTTTGCAAGAAACCTATGTTAATGGGTTAGCATCCAAGATTCACCCTGATTTTGTTGCTTGGTTTGTCAGCACCATACCCGAGTTTGAGGCTTTCAGCACGTGATAAACCTCTGCGACCTGCATCACTTGTGGCTTTCCTTCCACATCAAGCTGACATGCAGTGATATAACTAAAATACCCTAACGGTCAAAGTTGTGTTGAACCAAACTCACGCACTCATTCTTACCATGAGCGTTTTATAAAGGGGATTTCAAAATGATGCTGTGTACTTAATCACGAGATAATTTTGGAGTTAATAACATTTTGCCTTACGAAAACCTTATCTCTTTCACTGTCGTTTGTCTAAGTATAGGTTAAATGTGGACAAACGTTAAGGTCCAATGTAAAGTTACTGACGCTGTTGAAAGTTCAATAATCCGGACCGTACCTTTCCCAGTAAAGTCGTCAAGATTTACACGTTTCTAGAGTATCGAAACATGCCGAGTTCTATTGGTGTAAATAGAAAAGACACACCAAACCAGATCGTTCGAAAGGACTAACGAGGTTTTTCTTGTACACAGTGGATGCTATTCAAAATAAACATATCGTTTCAGTAAATATGCGATCGTGTCACTGGATTGTCGGGTTCATCACTTGATGGTCGAGACTTGTTTGGTTACAGGCAGCTGCCACAAGGCAGGAGTACTGCTATGTGGTGTCAGGCAACAAGCAACACTTACTTTTTAATGCAAAATGTGTGAATGGCGTTTGCTACCCAATGGGCAGAAAATGCTTACCCTTTTTCGAACACCTGGTGTCATCACTGATTTTCAGTAATCCATTCATATAATTTGCCTTTTACGCTCAATAGAACATGTTTCGGTGGATAATCGAGACTGATTATTCTCTGGTGTTGATGTTGTATATTATATTCACTGTTCATGACGACATCGTCTTTCCAGGGAAATCCAGGCATTCATATACGACGCCACGGTGCTGGAGTACTATGTCGGAAGGGACGACGTCTGTAAGCTGATAGTTGTTGGAGACTGGTACGCTACAACCGGGTACGCCATCGGTCTCCCGAAGGGGTCTCCCTGGTTGGATAAGATCAACACTGTTCTACTGAAAATGCAAGATACGGGTAAGTTCTTGTTACATAATTGGTTGCTTCTGGTCATATTATTAAGGTCGCCATGGCCTGCGCAAATGCCTTTTCGCATTCTTGTGTTATCAAAAGATTGCTATTACAACAGTGTGTCGAAATGGGGCCGTTGGGTTGACGTGTCCGCTCGTGACACCTAAGCCCAATGGGATACTTGGTTACATTGTGTGAATGCGGTTTTGTGTTCTCCGCCTCACCCATACTCACACACTTAATCATTATGAAAAATGCTTAAGCGGTTGAGTCAAATTGAATATACATATATATGTATGCACTAATAACATGAGGGTTAAAACCATTAGAGAAATTGCCGAAAATGAGACTATTAAATGATCGTACATGCTGTCCAAAAGATCAACTTAAATTTAGAATTCAGTGGTCATGTCTTCCAAAAGCATTACATTTTACCTTTGATCAAAATTTGACAGGATAGGCATTTGACCAGCTATGTGTGAAATTGAACCCTATTACAATGGGAAGGATGTTGGTATAATCGGACCTTTAGGATATATAATTATTCCGGTTACGTTAAACAAAAGGTTACATTGTTTAACGAATGGAATAATAAGAAGGCTAGGCTGTAGAAATAGATGCATAAATAGTTATTGAGTACATGGCCGGAAGGAGATAAGTCGTGTAATAACTATTTAGTCAGTAATGCCATACGTTACAGTCTAAACAGGTTATCATTACCATCACTAATAGGACCACTTCTTGACATATATTGCAATAGGTTGATGCTGTGGAATCCGGTTATGACAATAACTCAGATTCCCACCATTGCCAAAATACATTACTCAACGATATCCTGCAGCTTAAACTGAATTGATTGTGGTTGATGATAATTTAATGCGGTCAGCGAGGGAGGATTTGTCGTAAATCGGGGAACACAAACAATCCTACAGCAGTAGCAAAGTCATTTGTTTGCAGCCTGCAGACTTTCATTGAGAGGCACCGGCTAACGTCTCTATCCCCATAAACGACAACCAATATTCCAATACGGACCGACCGGACCGATACGTTGTGCAAACAGTCAGTGTTACCGAGTGCATTCACAATGTCGTGTTTCTTTCAACACCGTTTCTTCTTTATGCAGCGAGCTTTTCCGTACCATTTAACAGCATACCAAAGCTAAGCGATCTGTTGCATTCACATTGCCATATCTTTTTGCTACATGTACACACAATTCTTTCCTCATACATTTTTAACAAGTAACGCTCCCCACCAGGAATAATTAATGTCTTTTTATTTTGACAAATCCTTTAGTTTTGTGCAGTGTTGTGTACAAGACTCCCAATGGAGTGTTGAGTAGTTTGGGTTTTAGATCCAAGGTTGGTGCCAAGTGAGAAAGTTTTCAGACAGTTCTCTTCCGATAAATGTTGATAATTTGACGCAATGGTCTATGTTATGGCGTGACTTTCCAGCCTCACGAGGAAGCCCAACTGGACCAAGCTCGCCTTGCTGCTTCTTCTGAGGCTAATATGGCCCTTCCCTTGAGAGGGAGCTCACGAAAACAGGCGATATGTTAACAAATAGGTCCCCTGGGCCACTGTTAAGACATTAGCTTTGAAAGCACCGACTTTTTTCACCTCAGCAAGTACGGCGAGTACATTGGGAAGAATTCGACCTTGCGAGATAACTAAGACTTAGGTTACTCGTCTGTATTCAGAACACATAACTTGCATGTGTTTATGATGAGTAGGGCAGGACGCATCACAACTTGATAATGATTTACGTGTAGTGTGAATAGTACAATGGACGATGCTTTCAACAGATTTCTCATGGTTATGAAACGGGTTCTGACGCTTCTAAATCTATTTTCCCTTAGTAAATATTTTACAGCCGTCAGAAAGTCAGGCAATTGATACCAATAAATGGTACAATCTGGTTAATATTTGGATCTATGTGACCATGTCATATTGGCGTGATGATCTGTGAACAGATCTCACATAACTTATATAAGTTCAGTGGATAACTGGGGAAAGAAAAATTGAGATTGTTAACAAGCGAGCGCTGTCTAATATGGTTTTGTGTTCTGAATGGCTAACAAAATATATTGGGATTATATCCAATAGGCATAGAAAATAAATTATTACGTCTGTCGAACCTAACTAAACGAGGTATCGATGCTGACTATAATATCTAGACTTACAATCGATGTACTACCATCGGGTCATGGGTCGTTTCGAAACTTAAAATGTTCGATCATGTTATCTGTATACCTAACAGATGTCGTTGTCGACATGGCGTTGACGCTTTTATAGCCATGGCCGGAATAAAACGGCTTTGCTTATATTTCAGGTGAAGTTGAAAAACTGCATAAGTTCTGGCTTTCTGGTGCATGCAAGAAGAAAAAACAGAAAGGCGTATCGAGCCACACCCTTGGCATTCTAAACTTCACCAGCGCCTTCATTCTACTTGGCGGCGGCATGGTGCTTGGCGCAATTTTACTTCTGGCAGAACATCTTTACTTCCGGTTCGGCCGGAAGAGCCTACGGAAGTGGGACAAGTGCGGTTGTTGCTCACTCGTCAGTTTGGTACGTGTTCACTGCATTTATTTTTTCAAACTTACTCCATTTTTTAATATGTTTTAAATTCAATTGCTATGTTATGGTGATTCCTCGTGAATGTGATCATGAACTAACGAAAATTAGTTCTTAACCCTGAGAATTCGCTTTTTAGATTATGTCTTGTTTTTAATTAATTATCTCCTTGCATGCATGTGATGTCTTCGTTACAACCGGTTTGGTATTTCACGCCGTAATTTGCAACTTCTGTTGAATGACACTTCCATTAATTTAGATGTATTTTTTTTTCAAATGAATGACAACACCAAACCCACACGCTTGAGATTTCATTTACGAAATACTATAATTAAGAAATACGGATACGTCTATTTCTTCAACATTCGCCTACATCAACTATTTTTCAATTATGTATCATATATGTATCTTTTGCGGGTCCCCAGTAAACAGTAATTGAAATACGCTTCATTTTCACAGATCAAGCAACTCACAAAGAATTTCGAAACCCTTCCTATCTTATAATTTAACAGTTTTTTAGAAATGATAGTTAAAGGGAAACTAAGGCGAAGCGTGATTACACATTATACCAGAAGCCATGTTTGGACTTAATCTTTAACAATCCCGTCACCTGCCACTCTTATTCTCCCAAATGAAATGGTTGGAGAAACCCTAACCGACTTTAATCTAGGATTGGTGTGCCGCATCTTATTCATATTTCTTCATGACTTACCATCGTGATTAATAAATTTCGTTATTAGCTGTATCGTTCAACCCTTCGTCGAGCTCACAGAAAGTTGTGCTTTTTACACACCGACAGCTCAATGATACACCTGCCAATCCAACCCTACGTCTTGATACACTTGCGAAATGGTACCTCCCATTATTACAACTAGATGTAACTATATATGACCTTGATCTGTTACCATTTGATGCCGACCCGTGAAGATCCGGGGTAGGATAGGTCTTCAGCAACCCATGCTTGCCGTAAAAGGCGACTATGCTGGCCGTAAGAGGCGACTGACAGGATCGGGTGGTCAGGCTCGCTGACTTGGTTGATACATGATATCGATCTCAATTACGTGTATCGATGCCCATGATATTGTTCTTGTGACAGAGTCACAAATATATACATACATTCTACCACTACACACTTTATCATTTCACTGTCGTTCTGGCACACCGTTTATATAACTGGCATCATTCCGCGGTGGTCTGCAGAGCAGCCTAGTGATCAAGGCGTTGTCACCTAATGACGCAGGACTGGGTTCGATACTCAACACGGGTACCTTTGAAGCCTATGTCTGGTCTCCCCTGCCGTAATATTAATTTATATACACGGCATAAAACCATACTTGTTCAATCACTTATCCCTACGCTTTATTTTTTGTCACCACTTTGTATCGTAATGATTGTCTCTTTATTCCAAAGGGTGGTCGCGTGGCCTAGTGGTTAAGGCGTTCGCGCGTCACGTCGAAAACCCGGGTTCGATTCCCGACATGGGTACAATGTGTGCAGCCCATGTCTGGTGTCCCTCGCCGTGATATTGCTAGAATATTGCTAAAAGCGGCGTAAAATCAAAGTCACTCACTCACCCACTAATTTACATAACATATACCCATTGAGAAAGTTCAGGTTCATATGTTGAAACCAGTTCTTTTACACTTGCATTATTCGATTCTACGGCGAATTTTTTTATTTAAAGCAAATCATAGGACCTTGTGGAACGTGCATTCTGAAAATAACTTGAAGACTTTTCTGGTGTACAGTTTTAAAGAAAACCATATAAACTCGTGCAACTTCCATTCTGATAAATAAACAAGCCAATAAAAAGTTGGCGATTTTTCTTGCGCAACGTTTCAAATTAAGATCGTTTTGCCATGTCAACAAAATGCAGTCGTTAACATTCTTTCGCCTCTGGGAAATAATCACCTGAATAGTTGTAAGTGTTCAATGTAATACTCAATTTATGGTTTGTGTTGAATGCATGGCTGACACGAACGTTGTCAATGTTGATTGCGTTTCTACATCACCAGCATTTTCTACTTACACACAGCACCCTTCATATTCCTCGAACGAAAAAAGCATTGCGTTGATTGTATCACTGCGCAAAAAACTGCGATTTTTATTGGTAATTTTATTCTAAAAACCTCAGAATGATTGTAAAAAGGAGAGAAAGACATAATATGCTAAGCTTATCACCGTAAAATAATATTAGTGTCAGGTTAATACTTTGGGAAGTCATGTTCTGTCGAGCTTGGTTATTTTTATCTAATAATCGCATTGAAACTGAAAATTATATTTTGAATCAAGACATAATTGATTTCCCTTCAGATATATATTACCGGAAATTTCTAATTATCGATGATTTGTGGTGGACTCAAATGACCTTGAGAGTTTTACATTTCTCACAAAGGTTACTTTATATGCAACACGCGGAGTCTATGTACAGTATGGACAGGCACTTTGTTCAGCACAGCGTGAAGTCAGGTTGCATTAAGCAGCCTGCCAAATGGAAACTAATAGAAAAGTTAATAGGGAGCCTTCACGTCTTGTAATTACAGTTTTATGTGCTGTGGTATCATGGCTTGACTAGGTTCTGTAAGCAACTTCTCCAAGAATACGATTTGTGTACCCATGAAATAGTTCTTGGTGCATACTGGTCACCTTTAATTAGCAATGAGATAAAGTGTCATTTTCTCAGAGATCGAATAGGTATTCGAATCCCTGTTCTCAATTACATGGTTGGTTTGTCGTCACTTTAACAGTGCTCGTAGGTTTCAACAACATTATTAACTTCTAAGGCATGCATTATTTTGGACTTTCCTCCCACATGTCACTGGCTTTTAAATTAGCCCCTAAATCTTTGTCCATGATCATACGACAGCGACTGTATGATAACAGGCCAAACTAATTTATTTCATTATGTTGAATTTGAGCTTGTTGACTATGACACCAGAATCATTTTCAAATGCAAAAAATATAACCTGAAAAATCTCAACCTTGACAATCGTATCAATCTGAGGTCAAATTTATTGTTTTGGGAGATTGGTCTAACCCATAAGGTGAAATAGCTTTTGAGTAAGGGTGTGATCTGGGCTACATTTTTCGTTGTATCAGGGTGTGTCAGCTCAATGTGGGAGGAAAGCCCGAAGCGATGCAGGTCTTTGACGTTTACCACTTTTGTGAAGTCTACTGGCACTAACATGGTGTTGACAAAACCAAAAATAAAATTAGGGCCAATGATTCGAACCCAAGATCTTTCAGGCCGAAGGGACACAACTCTGCGACGTGAATTGCGGAGCCTCAAACAACGAGGCCATCACATTCCTTCTAAATGCCCTTCGACATTCCACTGACAATTTTAACGCCTTAAATCATTCTCCCAACATTTACTTCATAGACGCTGTTCTGTCTATTCCTACTGACTTCTACAATAAATGTAAATATGTCACTATTGTATCATGTGATGAAGTAGTGCACACATTTGCACATTAGATCTATATTATCTGTGTTTCAGAGCCAACACATTCATTTTGTCTCAGCGACGTAAAACAGTTTACGGGTATTAGGGGAAGGAAAGTCATATATGTTCATACATATTCACCAAGCTTATATGAGACTCCATCATGAGATATCTATCCCAGCTGTATAAACGTTAGGACACTAAGCTCCAAATGTGTCATTGGGATCACATTGGATGCACATGGGATGCAAGAATAAATGCGTTCATCCCTCACACGGGTAGGCATAAATTGTATATTTATGTTTAAGTAACACCTGCCCCAGTCCATTGTGTCCATGCTTGGTGAGAGGCCAGTCTTGTCTCATTTAGAAGTAGATCATGTGTTTGCATTCGGAAGCCTCTTCTTTGCAAGAAGCACCATATTGCTCTTACTTGTATCACACTGTAGGAATACAAAGTGACCGTCTTGCGTATTCTGTACTAATTTCCATGAGGAACCAACATTGATGGATTATATTGACGCTTAATATGCATCTAGTGCCAGGATCCAGATAGCTTTTTCTGTTTATCTCATCCTATATCATGCATAATTTAAATTGCCAAGTGCACCTCTCTTGCCGTTTGGACAGATTTTCAAAATGCATGCCTTGGGTCTTTTAAACATTCGATTTACATTTCAGAATAAATTGGGCATGATACATTGTTTAATGAAGTTAATTCACTTAACGGGACATCCATAACGATTTACCAGGTACAGAATTCAGTCAGACGTTCAAGAAGAAGAACGTAAGTGAATTGATCTGTTGGAGTCTTCGTTCATTGCCAGGAACCTCCACGTAACTCTGTTACAGAACTCCCTCGAGTCTGTCAGTAGCCTGGTGCCATGCAGAGCGGAAAGTTGGTTTGACACGTCGCTGTTTGCTATTTTAAGTGTGAACCTGTTTCCAGGCAACAAACTCAGTAAATTTAAGAACCAGCTAACTGATAATAATGAAGTCGTCCAAGGGACGTGAGTGAGGTGAAATCAGGTTTTACAGTTTCTCATTGCATTGCTACAAAAGTCAGGATCTCTGATAATTCGGTTCATGTGATTATAAATCGAGATTGTGTCGACGTCGACAGCGTATTAAGCTGAAACAGTGTGGAATTTTACGCTGCATTAACAGAAATTTAATATGTCATTATCGAAATGAAATCTCCGAGGCCATTTTAAGAACGTATGCCCACAACTTAGAGAAATGAAAAATGTATTTTATGAACACAGTAATACGTGGTTCTTGTCCTGGGACCTCAAGCGTTTTGCCATTGTGATAGGTTTAGGCTTCGCATTAATATGCATATTGCCCACATACACGCTAAGGTACGGATCTGACACAGAGTATGGATATGCTTATTCGGTGTCATGAGGGATCAGATGCCGGTCCGGGAGACAGTGTAATCGCCTATGATATGAATACAATTACTTCTAGGGTATGCATATTTAAGTGCACACAACAGGCCTGATGTTAAAGTAGGGACCCTAAGAAGTCAGCCTCAATACGAGGGTTTATTCATTTTAATATTTATGTATAATGCACATCCCAAGAGGATTATTGTTGTTTAATCTGTGGATTCCATTTGGTTTGGTTAGGGTCTTGTGACAGAGAAACGTGTTTGCGAACACCACAGGTATTGATTTTCAAACATTAACACGCTCTTTAACAAAGCTGTATCTCACTTGTCGTGTGTGACGACCAGGTTTACACAATTTAGCCATTAAAGATTCGATTTTAATATTTCACTGATTGACGCTCTGATTTAGACAGTTCAATCATTAAGGTTGGTTCTATAAAATTACACATTAAAGCTTCGGTTTGAACAGACTTATGATTGACGCTGGTGTTTACATGGTACAGGCGGTTTATAGATGGGGTAACTCGGATTTACATAGTTCATGTGTTAACGTTCGAGTTTACACTGTCATACCTGTCAGTGTACATCATGTCTATGTAATGAATTTGCGTTTAGTTTCAGGTACATCCAGGGTGTACATATAGCTTAAGGATAATAATTAGCGTGAAAGAAACTAGACCTAATTTGTTTGTCAAACGCATTTTCTTGCACGTTTCTGAGCGTATCATTAAGCAATTTTATGGTCTTATAACAACGTTACCTGACAATGATTCCACTGAGATTTACATTTTGTGCATTGCAGAGTATGGGCAAGTCGTTAACGTTTGAACAATCAGTGATGGAAGCTATAGACTATCACAAGAGACACAAATGCAAGGACCCTATTTGCGAGACCCAGCTGTGGAAGGTTCGGCATGAGCTGGATCTGGCGATGCTCAAAGTCGACATACTACAGAGACAGCTATCGTAAGTGCATTGTTTCATCATAACCAAAGGGGCGTGGACAATCGTCTAAGGCGCCGCAACGCGCTCGGTAGAGTTGCGTTACTTAGAGGTGCAAGAAACCTATAGCATGACCTCGATCGAATACTAGGTTGGTCAACGCATTACCGTGTATGTTTCCTAAGCTTCACAGTTTGAGCTTTTCTCCTACATCAAACTGAAAGTTCATGAAATAAATTAAACGGAACTCACTCGCTCTCTTATCGTGGACATATCCCCATATAATGAACGAAACAGCTTGAGCAGAACATAAAATTTTCATACCTTCCATACATTTCATTTCTGTTGTAATCACGTTATCTAAGCTTTCCATAAGTCAAATATCCAAACTCTGAATTCTTTGATATGTCTTATGTCTGTATTAAATATGAGCACAATTTGGGAAGATGACAGTCTTCGTTTGAAAGAAATTATTTCCAGCTTCAGATAGCTATTGAAAGTTGTGGAATGAAAGCTTTGTGTTCATTGATAGAACTTTTGGATTTGTTCCTCATTTTTTAAGTGTTCCGGAACTCTGTAAACTATCCCAAGCATGTGTGTTATAAATGAACCTGTTTCCTTGCTCACGTTCCTTTATTTGATAAACACGTTTCATTATTGCTACATCAGAGAACAAAGCTTTAGAGGTGCCTCTCCATCACACTGTTATTGATCTTTGCATGAAAACGATGGCCTTTAAACAAGTTTATCCACTGGGCTTAATGCTTTAATTCAAGTCGCACGTTGTAGACAATAGATGGCATTCCTCCCACAGGGGGACATCTATCGTTATTTATGGTTTTACTATTTTCAACGAAGTCTTTGTATTTCGTGCGTCGTCGATATCTTGAAATTCAAAACCCCACTCCAAATGAGTCAAAACTAGTCGCTTAAGTTATCATCGCAATTAAACGATAACTGATATATCATGTTTAGGTGTTTCCCGAAGAAAGAGACACTATTGAATTTCCCATGGGAATTCTGATAGTCTTGGTCAGGGTATGATCGCTGTGGTGGATCAACAGCCTGCGTGGGGAGGGTCAAGACAATCAGGGCCTTGTCATCAACAGTCCAATGCAGAAGGGAGGCAAGGTTTTACCCTAGAACCATTTGCTTAATTGTTTAGCTTAACTCAATCAATCACGTACTCCGCTTTAATCAAATACCAGCGTATCCAGTTTTCAATGTTCGGTTTCAAGGTGGCACTTATCTTGTCATTGTAGGCTGGAGACTGGTGGACGGGGTGAAGATGGGGCAGGAATATGGAGATACGACCCCGAAGCCACGCGTCAGCACAACGGCATTTCCCGGCGCCGAGCCAAGGATCGGGTAGAGCCAATAGGTGGAGAACTGGCCAAAATCGAGCCATTAATGTTGGCACATCCATCAGAAGAGGATCCACCTATTGAAGTGATGGCAGAGGCCAACACCTTGGCCTCGCCATCATCGGGCACTGACGGTGACAGTGGAGATAGGGACACGCCCAAAAGGTCCCGGCGTCTCGATGGCAAATACTACTTCGGAGTTGAAGATAACGTTGAGATGGAGAGTGCGTTTTAAACGTTGTTTCTGAAGTCACTACCTGCTGAATGTGGCAATCTGTGCTCCAGTTATATAATAACCATACAGATATTCATCATGTAACACTGATAAAACATGGAATCGTGAAAGCAGCATGGTTCCAGTACTATGCTTGTAAATGATCTAACACTGCTAAAACGCTTACGGCTGGTCCTGATTGTGACAGAGGACTACTAATTGTACTGGATTCAGCGGTGAAAGAAGCAATGCCAAAATAACATAACGTTTGATCTATGCAACAGTTCCAAGCATGATATTCCGAGTGGTAGTGGTTCACAAACAGTATTAACCCCTCGTGTACATGATATTACGTCTACTTACCTAAAACATACTACAACACCAGTAGAGCTCATAACATAAATACCAAGTTTCGGAATAGATATGCGACGGGAGATCTGGATGCATTGTAAGTACTCACAAACGAGAGAAGTATTATTATAGTTCATGTTGCTCAACTTCCCATCACATGATTCCTTCCATGGCCCAAATAATATGTAGAAGAGCCTCTTCCAAATGCATTTTTGTATAATAGCTTGTTGTTGCGTTCTTGTGTCCCGAACAATACAATAAGCTGATCATGCCTCGAAACCAGCTTCAGTGATGCTTGATATAATACGCCAGAATGATGGTCTTGAGTGAGTTGTTGAAAACACCACGACCATATTATTTCTGCATTTAAGTATAATGCAGACCATGATACAGAGGGAGACGACTGGATTGTAGTGTGAACCTACTTCAGAGAGCTGACCTTGTCTTGTATTGCCAGTGAGTTCACTATTGTGTTGCCGTATATGCATGTTCTAAAACAGACATACTGATACATGTATATTGTAAAGGTTTGGTCGCTCTGTCCGTTAAAATATGTACTATTTTACTTACCAAATCACACATCTTTGCTGTATGCTGCCTGCCTTGTATCCTTGCTATTTGAAAGTCTACTGTATATTGATTAACTGCTTACTGAAGGCATTCTTGACATTTTTTAAGAACAACCTTCTTTGAAAATGCTTCATCTACATTCATTTTCTTCAAGCTCGACGTATATAGTGTTTATTGGTTCACATTTTTACGACACACTTTGATCACAGTACCTTATACCCTATATAATCTAAATGCGATTCTTCTACGATAAGTCAATTTTGCATCATGACAATCCAATGACCACGGCATCTATCATACACGTGTCAATACAACTGCCATGTATGAAACCCTAAGTGTATGTATTGATATGGCAACATTATTTTGTTGTTTATGTACGGTATTCATCATGCAATTTGTCTGCAAAAGTTTTAATCTACTATATCACAACCATACTACTCCAAACAAGTTAAAGAACACCCATAATTGAAAGCCTGTGTTGCAATACCCGCCAGCTGTGACAGATTCATTTTAGTCATATGAAAAATAGGGCGTTTTTTAACTTCTTTTGAGTGGTCTTTGACTATATCAAACAGTGTGTGTATCCAGGTGTAAAGTGAGTGAGTGAGTGAGTTTGGTTTAACGCCGCTTTTAACAGTATTGCAGTTATATCGCGGCGTGTCAGCTTAATGTGGGAGGAAAGCCCCAAGTGATGAAGGTCTTAGACGTTTACCACTTCGATGAAACCCACGAGCACGGGTATGGTGCTGACAAACCTAGAAAAATAATCGGGGCGAACCGGGATTCGAACCAACAATCATAGGTTTCTGGCGTTCCCAAGGGACGCAACTCTGCACAGCGAATCGCGGCGCCTTAGACGACTGGGCCAACCGTGCCCCCCCAGGTGTAAAGAACCTGCTCAATGTTGTAGTGATCGTATGAACGATGTAACGTACAAAGGGAAATAATCCTAGTTTAGGTGCTGACGCTGTAATGGTGTGAGTAACATGTGAACTTTTCATCTGCATACCAGTTTATATAGTGGCGTAGGTTTGTTGTATAATGCATTATATACGTCATATAGTTATATCAAGAACTGCATTGCAATATGATATTACACACGCGATTCATTCAGCCTGGAAATGGGTTTCTACACTAGTTTAGATGTGTTCGTTTGAGTATTGACAAAACCTTCAAGAATAGCAATAATATGGAACTTAACAATTTCGCCCCTGGGGTTTTACCGCCCGACCTGTGAACGTTCAAATAGGCCACTAGTTGATTGCAAGAAATAACGAGAAGGCACTGACGTGATCATCGATAGATATATGGAGGACCTTCTGAGGCCATAGGGTATTTCCATCAAATTAAAACATTACATTCACCTACAAATAAGAAATATATTTTGAGTACATTTATTTTTCAAAAAAGACACCTTGACTAATTCATGTCTACAACATACTATCCCCAATAGCGGTATCTATAAGGAAGTTGTTCCTTCATCGGTCTTTTTAACAAACTAACATTGCTGGCATGTACACAAACGGACAATGTCTTTTTTGTAAATCCCAGCAATAGTAATTTGTGTATGTATACACAGCAATTATAATTATAACAAAAACAAATAAATAATGTTGCATAATTCAAGAACTCATATTCATATAATCAAGATTGTTTAACATTACACAATTCTTTCAAATATCCTCACAATTCAATAAAACTGTACAGTATATAAAACTATATATATTTCATAATTTCAGTGTGACATATTTTATTGATCGTTTTCTTTATGAAGTCGTTGCATTGCCCCTCGGATGGCAAGTGGTGGTAGTGAATTTTTCATTTTCAATTTCTTATATACCTTTTAGAATGTATATCTTTGATATGAAGCATTAATATCGAGTGTCATGAGATACATTTCATTTTTAAGTATTTAATTTTAATAAGCTTAAAATGACGGCGTATAATATTTTGTAAGCTGCCGCTATTCCATATGCATCTCATACATGTTCATATAGACACGCGATATATTTCTTCATGAATGAAGTTTTTGTCTTTTCATTCGATACTATGATGATACACATAATATCATCTCTCTCCTTTCATATGTATTGAGTACTCGTCTTTTGGATTCAAGTATTTTAATTTCATTTTGAACATTAGTACGATTGTACATAAGAAATACAACATTTTGATTGATACAACTATTGTTAATTAATTATGTTTATTATTGTCATTACGTTTCTAATATATTTGTGATCATGGCACGATTTCTCATTTTTATGTGTGTAGGTATTAGACTTTGAGTTTCGAGTATCGCAACTTATGTGTAAGTGTTTTATACACGAGTTGGTCAGTTGCTGTCTAGCTCAATACCGAAGTCCTTGTATGGCTGCTGATTTGGTTTGTTGCATAATATATGTGTGCTGTGACATAATCATAAAACCATATAACTATGGTATAAATGCCCCTACTATTACATACCCATGTACTTCTCCCATGACCAGATCCATCGCATTTTAACTGAAACAGATGCAAGTTTGTGAATGAACCAGCATGTAAATAGTTATGTTAAACGTTCAGTGTTTAAACTTCATGATTCGGAGAAAGGTCCAATCCGCCGATGGGATTTTACGATTGAATTGTTTCTAGGTTTTTAGCGTTTGTAAACACTTATGTTGTGTTAAGAATTCATTTCTTTGATAATGGAAATGGTGAGGTTCGTTTAACTGAATTTTAACAGGTCCTTTTGCAGGTATGTGAACAGATGGACATGCATTAATTGTTAAAAAAATATCAGATTGGATTATTGAGGATTGTTTATTGACAAACATGTTATTTTAATTGTGTGCTCTATATCTGTGCAAATATAATGTAACATCATGTTATCTCAAGTAATTGTGATATGTTTTCACGTGTCATCGTCGATGTGAATATTTTGGGAGCAATATAATGGAAACACTTTGTCTCAAAACCTGACATCCATAAAATATCCAAGAATTATGTGGCAAATCCACGTGCTCATTGCGATTGTCACTGTACAGTATTTGAACGTCGACTGTAGATAAAATTACATGTTATATTGTGCTGTATGATTTAAATATAGGTGTTCCAAAAGGGAAATATTTCAGGTAGTGTAGAACTTCAATTGAAACTAATGTTTGTATTGTCCAATGGTGCTGTTTCAGAACAGAACAAATAATGGTATGAGAACCATACTTGAGCAAGACTGAAGCTCACCAGAATGACACACTGTACAGGGAGCAGTCCATTTTCTGTCACTTCTAGCCATTATTCATGCTTTTTTCTCATCTAGTTAATAGTTCGCTGTTCCGTTGTCTTATACCCGTAGTTCTCTTCTTATATATAGGCTCTTCTATTATTGACCATACTACCAATTAGGGCACGTTATAAAAGGTCTGTGCGAATGTCAGTGCACATTCTCAGTTCCAGCACCTTTGATTGGATGGTTGTTTTACATACCTACTAGAGTTAGCATTGTACATAAGCCTGAGGCACAATACGCTGTTTATATGAATAAAGTTATTGTTAACATGACTGTTTGTCTTTCGTATTTATATGAAATGAAAAGGATGACGGGACGATAACGCAATTGTAATGGATCTACATGCCTTTGGTAGGTCTTGATGAGGTCTTAAACACTTAAAGCTGGAGTGGCTGGTGGACAAATCGTTTTAGGCACCACAATATGCTGTGTAGAGTTGCGTCCTTTGGACGTGCCAGGAACCTACGGTTCGAAATACAGGTTCGCTTCACTGCTTCGCCCTGAATTATGTTCCGAGGTTCGTCAGTACCATACCGGCGCTTGTGAGTTTAAACATGGTAAACGTAGACATGGTAAACATGGTATGGTAGATCTTGGCTTTCTTCCACGTCAAGGGGACACGTCGTGGGGTCACTGAAGTATTGCTTAAGGCGGCGTTAGACAAAAAATGACTCATTTACTCATCGTGATCAGAACATGTGCCCATACAGTGGAAGAAAAAACACATTGACTCTAACCTAACCCGTGTCGCAAATGTGTGTTCAGAAGAAATATGTCAATATGTTTCTCAGTTCAGTTGACCATTGTTTAAGCGACAAATGTGTTGTAGTCAGGTGGCAGGAGTAGAGTAGTAGTCATCTGGTTCGCAGTTACAGGCTAACAAGAACGAGCTTAATGGATGCGATTAACGTTCAATCGATATATTTTCTCAGAGTTATGCCCCTTTGACTGAATTTTCAGTATTTATATACTGATATTGAAGGTGTGGGCATGTGGCTAGAATCGTATTCCCGACATCTGTGACATTTTCATCGACACACAACCTTGAACAATAATAACGAGTTTTTTGGTCGCGACCGTCACATACATTTGAACAGATTCCCTGGTTCACTAGCCCCGTTCTATTTCATGGTCAGATTGTTACATATACGTGAGAACATGTGTACGTGAACTAATTGCTAAAAGCCGCAGTCAGCAAACTTCCGGCTATATCAATGCAGCCAGTGAGTATACAAAACCTGTGATCGAGGGCATGATCAACAAGGTCGCTGAAGTCATTTATCCTGCACATCCCATCCACTGCATCCACTATAATGCTGGGATACTCGGGAAGGTAGAAATAAATAATATGTAGCCACAATTTCACATGTTCGTCAAACACATGTGAAAGGTCCGATGCAAGATGTATAGTTTGCAAATCAGCGGAATTTAGGCGGCGGCGGAAATGAGGATCTTTACTCGCGAGAATTTCTACCTGGTTCATCACTATTTAAGAGTGATCCATAAACACATGCTCATGATATAGTCGGAATCGTACGACAGACTCTGTTTGATGCAGAGATTTCTATTGGTTATGGAAAGGGAGTTGTCGCTTTATTCACCTTCTATCCTGCCCAACACAGAAACACAAGGCGTGAGGGCTAAGAATATAAAATGAATGCATACGGATTTGTTGGCAAGAGTAACAATATGATTCGCTTCAAATATATCCCTCAATGCAGTGGAATCTTCCCTTTTCCAGTTCCCTTTAATTAATGAGCATATCATGGCAAATCAGCTTCATGTGGGAGGGGTGCGTGAGTTGGATTTACGCCAATTTGAACAGTATTCCTGTCACGGCGTGTCAGCTGAATGTGGAAGGAAAGCCCAAACTGATGCAGGTGCTGATAATTTTAGGTCGAATCTGTGGATTCGAACCCACAATCATTTGTTTCTGGTATTCAAAACAGTGAAATGCAGCCAGCGAGAAGGACATATTAAATGATCAATGAAAAAGGACCATGGGAAATTGAATTGTCTTAACAGAAGGCTAGCTCATACAAAAACAACGCTTTATATTGGATAATCTTTATTAATAAAGTATCTCTATGGACCAATATTAAAATGTATTTACAGTCATTATAGGTAGTCTAAAAGATGTGGCGATTTGTCGATCAAACACAGAATATAGACACGGCGATAGCATGGAGGGAAAGATGGTGTAACCAAGCAGAAGGGTTATATACACTGGGGGAGATCAGAAGACGCCAGAGGAAGAAACAGAAACAATGCTTTGGCAAAAATGGACATGTCAGCATGACAGCAGGCTGGTCATGCTGGCGAACAAATGGTATGATAGTGAGATGAAGGGTTCAGCTTTTATAAATGAGTGATGGCACAATTTTGCAGTTTCACTGAACTATGACAATCACATCTTTGTCATCGCAGTGCCTATCAGCTGGGCCGTGAAGTGTACCGTACTGAGAAAAGTATACACATCTGAAATGAAATACATTGTCTTACTTCCAAACAGAATTGATATTGTGTTCGTGGCCTAGGACAGAACAGTCCTTATTGAGCAACACATACAAACACTGTAAACCAAATAGAAAACAATGTCTTTCGAAACATTTCGGAATTGCAAGATCCTTCAATTTGTCTGAACGCACACCTCTTGAAGTTGTTTCATCCATCGTCTCTCTAGGAGTTACACGCTCCTATTGGTGTTTGTAGATACTACTGCTGGCTGGAAGAGGTCTAATATCGTTGTTGACTACCATTTCACAAACTAGAATACATCACGGCATAGAGAGTTGCATAGATGTTCATTGCCGTGATCACAAGTTTGACACACAAGGTGACCCAGAGCTCCAGACTGTGGTCATCCTTTTGGAAGCATTTCACGTTGATGCCATAGCGCGTTATGTTGATTGTCATGAACTAATATCACATTCACATAGTGATCTCATAGTGATTTCATATGGTGATCTCAAGGTGATCTCATATATTGATCGCATTTTGATCGCATACAGTGATCTCATTCAGGGCTCTCATAGTGATATTATATAGTAATCGCACATGGATCTCGTACAGTGCTCTCATATAGAGATCTCATTCGGGTTCATAGTGGTCTCATTAAGTGATCTCATAGGGATTTCACACATACACGTTTTATGCACGTTTCGAAACAATGCGAAATAACCCAGAAGCACCAACACATGCAGTGGTTCGGGTATATTGCATACAGTTAAAACATATCATCAAGAAAAGAGCCGCTCCTGTCCACGTGGTAACGATGGCTCCTGTCCAAAAGGTAACGATGCTGTATGTCCACTTGGTAATGGTGCCTTATCTCCACATGATAACGATGGCTCACATCAACATGGTAAGGATGACTCACGTCCACATTTTAACGATGGCCTGAGGCCACATAGTTAGGGTTGTTCACATCAACAGGGTAAAGGCTGCTCATGACCACATGGTTCGGCGTCTCACACAACAACATGGCAACAGCCGCTCATGTCCTCATGGTAATGGCGACTTATGGCCACATGATAACGATGTTTTACGTCCACATTGTAACGGTTTGTTCACATCAACACGGTAACGGTGGCTCACATCGAAATGGTAACGGTGGCTCACATCAAAATGGTAACGGCCGCTCAAGTCCACGCAGTTACGGTGGCTCACATCAACATGGCAACGCAGAACCACCAACACTGTGGTTTGGGCATATCGACGTAAACAGTCATAAAACATCCATCTCTTCATACCTCCATGTATAACACCTTTGAACAACATATCATCTCTGGTATCCAAAAGTTGATGATGATGCACACATCCCCTGAATCACACTGCCATCCTTCTAGAATGATCATCGTCAGAACACACTTTCTGTATCATTCACGCCCATATAACATTTCCCATCATGATAGCGCACTCTGTTGGACAAAGCTTGTATTTCTAGATTTTCATTCTCACTCATTGCAGTCGTGTAGCTAGGCGACCGTCTAAACTGTGCCCTGCCATTTGGTGAACCTCCCCCATCTGATCTCCCATCTTCACTGCCGTAGCACGTGAGCCGCTCCCCAAGGGCCTGCGTTGGGTCAAAATTATCTCGGTCTCTATGTCTTGCATTCTGGCCTGGAATACCATTTGGCTGTCGTGGTCGATCAGGGTTATACCGCCAGTGAGAATTACCGTCTTCTATTGACGTATCTGTTCTTGCCCTGAAGAACAAGAAAAAGGTTATGTTAGTTTTCAGAGTTACGGGTAAATTAACCGTCACACATGATATAGAATGACAAAGATACAAGTAATCACAACAGTCGAAACATATGCAATGATATCAGCAGCAGAAACTTTGAAATTGGTTAAATGGTTAAAAGTAAAAATTGCTCTGTCTATTTATAATAGTTTTCATTTTGTTTAAAGTGATGTGGGTGGCTGTAGTTAGTGAGTTAGGCTCTACGCCGCTTTCAGCAATATTCCAACAATTTCACGGCGTGGGATACAAGATGGTCTTCAAACAATGTACCCATGTCGGGAATCGAACTTGGGCATACAGCGCAACGAGCAATCCAAATGTCATTGTATATCCTGGAATGTTTATAAATCCTACTTTTGCAAAGAAGCATTTACAAAATCAGCTATAATGTGAGTTGCATGGTACTGTGGAACACCATTCATCCACACTGTATCCTTCGAAGTGCGATAACCAAGTTTAAATATTAACGGATGAACGAAGTTTGTATGGACATGTAGCAAGTGTATGTGAATGAATATGGTGTTGTGCATCTTGTTGCAATATGTCAGTCACATCATTTCGGGACACAAAAACTGCTCCTCACAAATCCTATCTGGACAACTGTCAGAAATAAAAGGTTTAAAAAAAGTATTGGTAGAATATTGGCATCAAGGTTTAAAACCATAAAAAATCCATCACTGATTACGAAAAATAATGTTGCCAGTTTATCCACGAACTATTTTGAGGCCATCTTGAATTTCAAAACAAGATACCGGAATGGTATGTAGCAACGTAAAGCGTACCAAAAGGGCTTTCCTTTGATATGTATCATGCCTATGTATCAGTTATATATGACCGATATCGGACGTGAATTGGCGGTCATTATGAAATCTAAGATGGCCGCTACAATAGTGGAAACTGGCAACATCATTTCCCTAAATCAGTGATGTTTCGTGTTGATGTTTTATACTGTTACCAAGATTCTACCCAAAGATATTGTTTTATTTCGTTAGCCAATATACAGACGGTGTACTAAAAAAAACAACGGATAACGTAACGCAGTAATGCCCCTTAAGCGTCTTCATGTACAGGCGCCTTCAACAGTAATAATCCTTAAGGGATGTCCTAATTTTCAACGTCCGGACTGTCATGGCCATTACGGGTAAAGTCGTGACAGTTATTGCAGTTATTATTTTTCAAATTTTAGGATATATACTGATCAAAAAGGTGAGGGATTATGAATATTTGGGACTATTTTTTGTGAAGACTGAGCACACAATTTCCTAAAACTATTTCTAAAAATATTCGTGATCTGTAAAGTGTTTTGTTCAGTATATATGTCAGAGTGAAAGTTAGTTCGCTTCATCAAGGAAACACACATACCCAATATTATTTTGTAAATTATCGATTTTGAGTAGAGCTAGATCGAGCTCATGTTTTATCTTCCATAGCTGTGTTTCACACACAGGATCAGTGCACTTGGTTCTTCTGTGGAGGTTGATGGCTTCGATGACAGACGCTTCGAACGTCAACGACTTCCCCATGCTCTGAAAATACATAGAAGGATCAGTTTCGTTGGACGCAAATGGTCTGTAGGATCATTGTTCTTGCTATATTTAGAACACCCACGTCAGACATAACACGTTATTCATATTCGCTGTACATAAACACATTGTCCTTGAATGTAATGTTATCTTAACTGAAAGGTGATCCTCAACGACGTAACGTTTAACAAAATGCTTACATAAAACCAACTCTTTAGGGTTGTGTTTTGGTTATAATGGCTACCTAACGGTTAATTACTTTACAAAATGAATGGGATAGGTTAACGTCGTTTTGAACTGCGTGTCAGTTTAATGAGGAAGGTACACCAAGATGAACTCAGATCGTAGACATGTTCCACTTTTGTGAAACTACGACCATAAGTACTAGTTTGCTGACAGACCAGTGATCATTATCCGCACGAGTTGATCTCATTACAATCAGATCTCTCTACCGCTACACAAAGTTATGTGGGCATCTCATTGCTGAATCCACGATCAGAATATTCTGAGAGCAAAGGGACGCAACTTTGAATCGCTGAATCTTGGAGGCTTATGTCCCTTTAACCATAAATCTGCGCCACATACCCTACAGAGGACAGATTTGCCTCAAATCTTATACATGAACACACATCGATTTGGCCTGTTAGTTATGTCTTATGCATATCCGATCAGAATTAGCGGTAAATATAAGTTTGAACAAGGCTGGTTTAATAATTTTAGTTCGTAATAACCGCAGTTCGTTATAAACATATATATAGCATATATACAAGAAATGGCCGGGACTAAAAATAATTTCGTTATATCCGTCAGTTCGTTATAAGCGTGTTCGTTATAAACGCAATATACTGCAAGTATGAGATGAGTGAGTGAGTTTGGTTTTACGCCGAATTAAGCACTATTCCAGCAATACCTCGGCGGGGACACCAGAAATGGGCTTCACACATTGTACCCATGTCGGGAATCGAACCCGGGTTTTCGGTGTGACGAACGAACGCTTTAATCACAAGGCTACCCGACCGCCCTAATTCTAAGATGAACCTACCAGACTGACTAAGGTGCAGCAACCACATGTGTCCCACTTCTTCAGACTCTTCCGACCGAACCTAAAGTAGCAATGTTCCAGCATGAGAAGTATAGCACCGAGCACCATGCCGCCGGCGAGAAGGATGAAGGCGCTGGTGAAGTTGAGGATGCCGAGGGTGTGGCTTGAGACGCCAGTCTTCTCCTTCTTCTGACACGCCCCAGCCAACCAGAATTTCTGTAGTCGCTCCATTTCACCTTAATGGTAAGTCAAGGTTCGTGATAGTTATACGCACTAGCGGAGAAAATTAACTCTGTCCGTATACACTTTGTTCTTACAGAAAAGTATTTGTAATTTCGAGACATTCTGTAAATCATGTGGACTTATAGTAGTCAGATCTCTTACTGTACACAAAACTGTTGAGTTTAATAAACAAAATTTCAAACACCAAAATTGATTTAGACTACATGAACATTTGTGTCCAACAATAAAAAGCCGTAAAGAGAAAGAGTAGTGTGTGTGTGTGTGTGTGTGTGTGTGTGTGTGTGTGTGTGTGTGTGTGTGTGTGTGTGTGTGTGTGTGTGTGTGTCTGGCACTATACTAGTCCGGACTAATTCCGATTTTATAGTGCTAGTCCACTGAGATACCAGACCACAGTTTGAACGTGAATACCCGACGCAGGCACAGCACACTGACGCCGAGCCGACCAGCCTTTGTTTATTCGCCTTAATGGTGAGTGTCATGTAGGTTAACAAGACGAACAATCTGTTAACGTCTGGTGTGACGCAGCCGGGAATGGAACCACCGAGGTGGTCGACAAAAATATGGACACAGTATTGCTCAAGACATAATTCAGTACCGTTCCTGATTAATCTATGTTACAATGCCTCACCTCCTTCCTGCAAATCCAGTAACACTTTGTTGACTTTGTTTATCCAGTGTGAGCCTTTGGGAAACGCAACCCCGTATCCTGTCATCGCGTACCAGCTTTTGCCCACAGTGATCAGGCGACATTCTTCGTCTTTCCCGGCGTAATACTCCAGAACAGTGGCATCATAGATGAAAGCATGGATATCCCTGAAGAAGAGTGTTGGCCTTGCTTAGATACTAAACTACTACTCACGAGAAAATCTGTAAATTCATTTTAGTAGTTTCGAGCCTGATGGACTTGAAACATTACTTCAAGAGTTGCCAGCAGCTATGTGTTCTTCTATACATTGCCTATAGTCATTTTTTTCTGAGAAAATGTAGAAAATATGTGTTTCCCGCTAACGAACTGAGTATCTTCCTTGGGCGACATCTGTGACATGGCTGACTTTATATTAATAATTTGCCACAAAGATATATTGATATTCCATTTCTATTATTTGAACCCACGATCAAAGCTCATGGCACAAATAGGAAACACACAATTCTGTATTCAAAATGACTGATAGAAAAGTGCAAGGGAACATTTTTCACTATATTTGATGAATTGCGATGAGTGAAGTAAAAACATTTAATATAATCATATGTGACAAGTTATATGTCAAACAAACTCGTACTTTAAAATCATTTCTTTGACTTCCAAAACTTTATTATGTTACGGTTTGTGTATTGTTTAACGTGCACTCAGCAATATTCCAGCTATATGACGGCGGTCTGTAAATAATCGATTCTGGACCAGACAATCCAGTAATTGACATCATGAGCATCGATCCACGCAATTGGGATACGGTGACATGCAACAACCAAGTCAACGAGCCTGACAACCCGATCCCGTTGGTCGCCTCTTACGACAAACATGGGTTGAGGACCAATTCTAACCCGGAACCTTCAGGGGACTGTCAACGACAGTAAACGTACTGTTTCTTAAGAGCTTTTATTCCCTCGTCCACAGTAGGCAGGTTGAACTTCCTCATGTAGTTGTATATGTCTTTGTGGTTGTTCTTGATGTTGGTCTCGGTGCTGCCGTTGGGGATGGTGGCGTACTTGAACGGAGGCTTCATTGCCTGCGGGTTCTTCAGCTGGAATCATATATTATACATTCACGAGAAGGTTAATATTTTGTAACCTACCATTAGGCCAAATATGCATACCACATGGGAATGAAACTATATCATAGCTATATTCAGATATGTATAACTAATCCTTAAATATGCGAAGGAACAAGCACAATAGTTCTGAAAAGACAGCAATGCAGGACAGGGGATTTTTACGAAATTTATTCGCCCTGTCGTTGGAGGAGAAACCTGATTTATCACACCAATATTTAATGCTATAGCAATTATTTGGATATATATTATCTGGCATGGACACTTATTTCATATTATTCTTGTGAGCGTTTATCCTATCCGCAATGCTTGATACTTTTTAGCCCTATGTAAATAATACTCAATTAACCAGCATTCAGGTCACTGTGATGAAACATGCATATGTATAGTGCTGTCTGACATACCTAAATGTTCATAATTTACAAGTAACAAAACAGGGAGAAATTGTTCATACGAATATACTGTGGATCCCTTCAACGGCATTCAATATTGTGGTAATTAACCTATGTTTTGTCATGTCCTTCACAGTTAATCCAACAAATTGTACGACCTAATTTTTGACAGGTTATGAAGGTATCCGGTAAAGCCCCCGTAGCCAAAATGGGAAGGTTTCCAGCAAAAGGAAACCAGACGTTTCCTGCCTAAGATCATGATTTGGGCACCGGAGCGCGCACCCACGCTGAGCGAATATATAACACAATATGTAATGCAGCGCTGAGCGACGATTTGGGCCGTGCCTCGAGGAATATGCAAAATTTAATGTTATCCATTTGATATGTTATGGTCATAGACACTGTCAAGCGAGATCAAATAGTCAATGCTTATTCATGAAGCTATTAAAGTAACAGCCAAATAATTTTATTCATCTCTATATATTATCATATCTCCTATATGTTATTCTATGAATATGCTTAAAGAAATCAAGTTAGTTTTACCTTCTTCGACATGCGAAAGAAACAAACGAAAAATACAATTTTGGACCGTCTGACCGTTAGCTTACCACCAACACATTCCATAAGTGTGCATGCTTGAATACATTCCGACACGAAGGTATAGCCATAATGAAATTAACATTGAGCATTGCCTCCCTTAAGTGTCTCGTATGCCTGATAATATTATTATACACCCTCGTCGTCTGGATTTCCAAATAACAGTTATCGTATACCTAGCTCCCCTACCAACAGTGCCAAACCCGTCTGGAACTGTCTTATCACTTTACAACGTAACACGTTAGACGTGGTCCTGGCTGCACTGTCTACAGAAGACAAGTCCGCTTGATATACACGTATGGTAATCACTGTCAATATTCACACGTCGTTGTTTAAAGGTCTTGCAGCTGTCGTCATGAAACCATCATATTACACGTTAATCAGAACATATGCTACAGTATGCATTCTGCTGAACCACCTATCCATCTCATTGCACGGGCGGTAGCATGACCCAGTCATCTAAAGCGCCCAAATTCACTATGCAGAGTTGCGTCCCTTAGGCATGCCAAAATCCTATGACCGTGGGTTCGAATCTAATTTCGCCCTAATATACGTTTGTCAGAACCATACCCTTGCTGATGTGGTCGGCAAAGTGGTTAACTTCGAAGACCTTTATCACACTGGGATATAACTGACATATTGTTCAAAACGATGTTCAACCAAAACCAAGAGTCTCCAGGTGATGACATACAACACACACACACACACACACACACACACACACACACACACACACACACACACACACACACCGATCTGGTTCAACTCGGAAATGGACTTTAGCTACTTATACCACAGTTTTGATCAATTGCTATTGGATACCTTCAGTTCGGTGAAGAAAAACATAACGCTGTTCAGTATTTTCCAATATCCTAAATCCTAGATCATCAAAAGGCACCAGTTCACCAATTAACAAGTTTCATCAGGACAAATTCAACGGTTTTGGAGTTTTGCTCCGGAAGCGAGCACATACCCTCATTTTCAGTGTAAGTCAAATTTGTCATCATGAAAACCAAGACATGAATACACTAAACATCGCAAATCATCAAACGGTAACTATTCACCACAAGAATGATCTGTATAGCAAGTTTCATCTCGAAATATTCAACAGTGTTGGGAGTTCCGCTCCGGAAACGAGCACCACCCTCATTTTCAGTATAAGTCCAACTTGTCGCCACGAAAACAAAAAAATAAATTAAAAACTTAAAACCCCAAACTATCACAAGGCACCAGTTGAATACTAGACCGATCTGTTTGGCAAGTGTAAAGTAAAATAGATATCCAAAGAATTGTTATAGCATTTTCTACAAGCAGGAAATTATGGTGTGAGAAATCGTGTTTCAAAAGTAAAATATTAGCTCCAAGATGTTCAGCGTTTGTTTTATACTAGATGCTAAATTATCTATCAGCAAGAATGTTTCAATGCAAAATTTTGTAATAAACGGCATATTGAATATGAGTACCAATTTCTGAAGGTGCGAATAGCTTCGAGATAGAAATATGCCTCGTTTAACGTAGTATATATTCCCAACACCCAATGCATTTAACGAGCTTAGGACACCTAGAAAAACGCACATTATGTTTATCTACAAGTTATGTTTATCTGCTGTAGAACTTGTTTGGGATGTATTTGACTGATGTATGCATGAACATAGTCTCATACTTCAAAGAATACTGAATATAGCAGTCCCTTAATGTAATGTATGTGGTCACTGTTTCTAATTTCCTCACGTTAGTACCCTGTGTTCCATGCTTTCTTAAAGGGCTGACTACAACGAGGGTTGGATGGCTACAATGTGTGGTAGTTCTTGATTGTTACGCTAGGTTGTCATCAACTGATGTTAAATGGTTAAGTTCAACGCTTAAACCCCCTAATCCCATCTTTATCGGGAGAGAAGGTTGGGTGGTTTGGCTGATAGGTGGTAAAGAACCACGATTGCGTGGACTGTTGCTCATGCAATCATTCTCGGGTTTTCCTTCCTCTGTTATTTGCATACTGCCATTGGGGTACGATGACACACGTTCAGCCAGCTCACTAATGTCATCTTTAATATTACAGTGTTACATTCTGGAGCACTTCATTGTTTGCATACACACCCTCCAATCCTGGATACCGGACAGATCATAGTACTCCTCCTTGGTGATCATGAAGGCTGCCAGGTTGGCAGTGTAGCTGGCCAGGAACACAAGCGCAAACAGAGCCCACAGGTTGGCCAAGAACCTGCTGGAGACGCCCCTTGGAGTGTCTGTGGAAACTGCGGCACTGAACAGCATGGCCCATATTAGCCAGAACGACCGGAATAGAGAAAACCTGTGGTCTAGAAGAAAGACAATAAATGTGGAGTACAGGTGTCCTCACTACAGGAAAAAACATCACAGTTATTAAATCAAATGTTTCTCTACTGTTAAAAGCGGCGTTAAACCCAACTCACTCACTCACTCACTCACTCACTCACTCAAATTACCCGCCCTTACTTCCATTTGCCAAATCTATTCCCTCCGCTACAAGGTCTAACGTACCAGTAAGAATGCGACTTACAAACCAGCCTCAGTGTTGGGTTGGCTAATACCATTGATTGTGATCGAGTTTGCGAGAAATTCGACATTGAAAAACTGACTAACACGCCAAAGAAAGCCCCAACATTATTTTTGACGAAAAGGATGTCTTCATGTCCATCAAAACTTTGATTTCTAGGTAATACGAGTTATCTCCCTTACACTTTCCCTTATGTTGACTTTTGATTGAAAATCAAGAGCGGGTAATTTGCGATCGCAAGAACCACGGGAATGATACAGGGGTTAGTGTAGGTTTACCGAAATGCGAACCCTGGAAATATTGAGGATGCTCAGAAGTGTCCCTTAATACTAATGACGATCGCAGAAAGCGTAATACACACTGTGAAACCAATATTAACCACCTATAAAATGTTCGTATCGTACTGCACTAGAATTATGACGAGCTTTGGCTTATGCTTTAAAATCAATAAACCCTGTTAAAAAATGTAATGACACATATTAATCAATACGGCAAATTACAACCGTACAGTCTGTCACAATACAGAATTCGAAGCCTTCTCATATTAACATCATGTTAGTATACAATGATTTACTCCAATTTCGGCATATATGACCGCATAGGAAATAAGGTTGACGACACACGCAGAGTGCTGTTAGGTATACTGATTATATTACATAAAAATTAGTTTGGTCGATTGACACAAAAATTACGTAAAAGGATTTAAACGTGACTTCAAGTTCTGATCTTGATGGTTTTGGTATTCACAATGACAACTTAATCACAGGAGTTTTAAATTTATGCATTGTTTCTGATAAAAGGTGTTTACAAAATGCTTTTCAGCCAAGGAAAAATATTTTGAAATAATTTCAAAACTTTTAGTTGTAGGGCTAAGAAGGACACATTATGGTAATTTTAGGGTAAGTTAATGAGGACGCTTTCAGGCATGAAGGCCTCATGAATTGCACCCAATTGAAAAAAAGAGCCCAAGTTTGGCTTGGCGAAGTCCAAAATGGACAATTCAAGAAATATAATACAATACAAATATAATATAATAAAGAACAATGCAATCAGTATATCCAACAACCAGGTGTAAACAGTCAGAATACAACACCACAACCAGGTGGACTTGACAGGAGGGACACACGGACATTGTGCTCAATTAACTGTTATGTTTTTCTGTGGCTATTCCCGATAGCTTCCCAGGACCTCACTTGTATAGTGAGAGTCGAATAAATTGGTATCGGGTCCCGAATACATGGATCGTTGCAGTAACTGGTTTTCCTGACTGCGGCGTTAAATAACATTCGCTAACTACTCTGTGCTGTTACCTCAGCACAAAGTCAGCTGGAATTGTAAGTGAAATCTCTTAACGCGTTTGTTGGCTATTAATTAAATAATTATAAACGTTGGCAAATCTGTGCATTTTCCCAATGAACCCGAGTGCGAAGTCAGCAATAGCTGGATGCGCTCGTAAAATCTCTCATGAGTTTGACCTAGGCCCACAGCCCGTGACGCCACTGCTGACGATTTACCTCAGTTACCTCTCATTGTGGTCAATCCTTGGTTCAACCCATATGGGCTCAGCCACTCGAATATGAAAATAGATGCCCCAGTTGCGTGAACACTGAACACGAGAATTAAGCACCAAGATGGGTAGTCGTAAGGTTCTGAAAGCCAGAAACAGAACACCTTAAAATCAACGAAACGATCTTTAGCAGGAGGAGGAGTATTGTGAAATGCTTTGTAAGAATAATAATCGTGGGTTTGAACGAAGAGGGTGAAGTTGGGAGTGTTTGGTGACGTATGAACTACAATACCTTTGTGTGTATGGTGTACGTCACTTGCACTTAACTCTGGATCCATGACACTCAGATGTCTCAAATACAAACTTCTTCTCAAAAGTATAGGATCAATAGTCGCAATTAAAACATGAAATTAATTCAATTCTATTATCCATGGTGTGAATGAAAGATGTCGGGAAACGTTAGCCCTGTATCAAGACTGTTGAATATATGTATTTTATGAAAACAAAACCAATCTAGGTTTATATAAGAGCCTGTACAGCCAGCTCTAGCAGCTATTCCACATGAAACTCAGCATCAGAAAAAAGGTTTTTGTTTAATATTGAAAAAGGAAAATGTATTGTGGAATAAAAGATTTGACAGACTATATGTTAGTCAAGGGGAACGTCTTGTCTGGTATATGTAGGTGCCTTGACTACAAAAAAATGTCGAGGCTGATACATATAATCAGCCTTGAAGGAGAACGGTAATAGGTATTGACTCAGCTTATTATTTTGTCTATGTATTCAAAAGTGAATACAGTGTATCGACAAATAATAGGTTGAAGAACAATCGAGTAAGTTCAATCACTTGGATATTAGCATTCCGAAGATATACATAAGTTCTAAATTACACGACTCATGGTTTTTCGACCCTATTGGCGTTTTTCCTTGTATGATCCAGAGTTAAGGGCAAGATTTTAAAAACATAGCGATAGATCCAGATAATGCAGTGAAGACCCTTCCAAAAGAAGCCAAACAATAGACACATATAAGACTAACAACACCATGTAGATGGTTGTCCAGGTTACCTGGGCTACGTTCCCTGTGCACAGTAAATGCAGGATTGGCAGGGGTGTACCTCTCAAAGAAGTACAGCCCAATTGCCACTGCATGAATATTTATCAGTACGATAAATACCCATGATGCAACATCAAATGGTTCTGAAATGTAAGTCGAGTAAGTTAATAGCAGGTCGTCTTCTTCTCCGGTACTGGCTATTTGCAAGAAAAATACTCAGTCTGATTTCATGAATATAGATACAGAAAAAATACAGATACAGATGTTATGTTTTAGAGTATGTGCATCACAAAACGCAAATACTTTAAAAACTTATATTAGTTAAAACATTTTCTATTTTGGTTTGGGTGAGTTATATGTACAAAAATTGTAAACACGGTATTCTATGTATAATGACCCTTCTATGCTAACAGTAACACAAAACGGTACACAGCACAAAATGTTGACGTGAAGCTATAGTGTGTCGAAAAAGCTGATTTTAGAATCACTGAGATTTAATGAAGCATTTAACTTAATACGTATTTCAGCATGAGCAAGGTGAGTGTCTTAGGATATATGGATAAAAACAGTCCGAACATATGGTAAAAAAATGTGTTGTTATATGTTCACAACATGCATGTCTTGAAATGAAGTCTAGTTCTAATCCATGTGAACATCTCTAATAATTTCCGTAACAATTTCTTTACAATTAGTAATATACCTTAGTGCTAACTAATTGATTTTGACGACCTCACTGAGCTTGTTATATCCGGTCCTTAAACACAAACATGAGACCGACCATTGTTTGTTATTCATGAGTGGGGAGCTGTCCTGTTTTGAAAATGATAATTTGTTCCAGGAAATACAGGCACAACTAATTTTGCCTCGGGTTTTAAAAAAGACATGTTTCGCTGGACATTCTTGACGTCATGTCTTGAGTTGTGAAACATAAACATTGTTGGGCTCCTCCTTCTATAAAAACAAATTATTTTTTTTTACAATCATGTGTCACTAAGCAGTGACCGAAGATATATCTTGACTTTAACAATACCTCACCCTCACTCCCTACCATGCAAAATTTTATTTGTAAGGTTAACTTTACGAACACTGGACGTCTTATATATACTCTTTTGATGTATAGTTCGTAAACACAAGCATAGAATTCCTTGGCTTAAAACTAATTCTGAAAGTGGGAGTATGGCCTTGAACAAGTGATAAATTAACGACTGTTATAGTCACCAATCGTTATTTCCACCACAAACTATCTGTTGAGGTTTGTGTTTCATCACTTTCTAGAGATACCTGATAACAGATAAGACACTGTGAAATGATAGTGTTCAGAGAGTTTTCTAAATAACTCTTGTAGTCTTCAACACTTCACATCGACTTGAACTCGAACTGCCTAACCGAAATTACATGTTGAATTCTGTTGGTTCGTTTTGAAATAGTCAAAGCAGTTCGTTGTTACAAAAAACTTGCAAATGTAAATTTCTGAAAATACCACCTTGAATAATTCCTTCGTTGCATACAAACTGGATATTTCGATTTGCGGGAAACAATTAATCCTTTCTACAGTAGCTACTGACACTCTAGAAGCCCTTTCCCTCATCACCTCGTTCCCATGCCCACCCTCTCCTCTTCCAACCACTCTCTCCTGCTCACCGAGGAACGCTGTGGGGGATATGGCCCCTTCCCTGATGGATACGATGATCGTGATTCCAGTCTCCAGGAACGGCACTGAGAAGTCCACTGCAGAGTTCCTCTCCGGTGTAATCTTCAGCGACGTGATGACCATATCGGCCTTCTGATCCGTCAGTGCCTTGATCAGACCGTTCCACTCCCCAGTGACCTGGAGGCAACCATATACACACTGATATCAGCTGATTGCAAAATGTTTCTGTCGAGGATGATTGTTAATTTGAATATACATATTTGTAATAACAATATGCTTGAAGTGTTTCGATAATGTGAGTGTGTTTATTTATTCAGGTCATGCTCAAGTAAATGGAATGTGTCATGTATATGTATCTGTTCATGAGTGAGTGAAGATCTTAAATATTTCAATAATACCACGTGTGTCAGCTAATTTAGGTTATGGAAGCGAAAGAGTAAGCCACGAGCACATGAATGGTCCTTGGTGATCAAACTTCATCAATCAAGGCGAATCTGGTATTTCTTGAAACACGGCAACTTGCAACATGGCAATGTGCCTCAACAAGTGGCTTTTACTATTCGGTACCACAGAAAAATTATTTGTATATGTATAATTATATTAAATTTGTGTCAAAATAATTTTTCTGCGGTAGCAAATGGTTATAACCACTCGTTGGGGCACATGTATAGATTCACTGGATAATCTGAAAGATAAAGTGTGTTAAGGGTTCTCCAAATTAAACAAGTCTCCTCCTTTCCGAGAAAATAATAGACTGCTTATAAAAAAAGAAGTGACAAAAATAATTTTCTCTGACAACAAATACTTTTGATGACATCTCTCCAGTAGTAACTTGGATATTTTACCTACGTTGTATCAGTAATATAAAGCGGTGTAGTGAGCGTGTAACGCCGCTTTTAACAGTATTCCAGTTATATCGCGGCGTGTCAGCTTAATGTGGGAGGAAAGTCCGAAGTAATGCTGGTCTCAGACGTTTACCACGGTAAAACCCACGTGCACGGGTATGGTGCTGACAAACCTAGAAACATAATCGGGACGAACCAGGATTAGAATCCACAATCAAAGTTTCTGGCGTGCCCAAGGGACGCCACTTTCCACAGCGAATCGCGGCGCCTTAGACGACTGGGCCACCCGTGCCCCAAGCAAAGCTCTGTAACTTTGTATTGGCATGATTACGTACAAGAGTTGACTGACCAGAGCGAATGAGGTATCGGTTATACACTACTTACGCTATTTATGGCTCCCCACTGACCGTCGTCAACTTCGAACAGATGGTAGTCAAAGTCCAGTTGTTGACTGAGATCGATAAGAAGGTCGATGCTGAGACCATTACAGCATTTCTCCACCGTGGTGTTGGTGAGTCTGTAAGAGTCAGTACGTTCAAGTCGTGCATGATGTCTCTTGTTTAAACATGGACATTTACACTAATACCGTCATGATTTAAAATGTATTTGCAAATAGCAATACCCTGTTCGCATGCATGCCGTGGCATACATGAAATCAACTTTATTCAAAAGGATATATAAATATATATCTTTATCAAACAAGGGAATACATGGAATTCTTTTATAATTGAAGATGTATGTGTTCTGTTGTTTTCAGTAACATTGCTTCTTCATTAAAACAGGCATGTGAGTTACTTTCTGTTATGTTTGCTGCATTACTGGTGATGTTTTTCATGTCGGTTCATACAACATTGTATATCGAACTCGTGGTTCCCTGAACAGATATTCCATGAAAACATTAGATAAATGGACGACTATACAAACGATCCTGTGGAATGGTAGCACTACGTCCCATTTGGACACAATGATCTGTCATGGTTCGCCAGTATTAGCATTGAGTACTTGGACAGATGATATGTTCTGCGGCTATTTTTATTTCCATATTTTCAGGAATTCCAAGCATCAGTTATTTGATGAACTCACTTTCTCTTCTTCTCGTCCCTGTTAAAGATGTCACAGCGCACGGCTCCCAGCTGACACTTGCCGTCGCCATTGGGCTCCCCGTACATCACATACGGTTCTTCCTTCAGGGTGGCGATACGGACAAACGGGCGATCTGGTTTGCCGGCAGGGGGTGATGCTGCCTCCCCTGGCCACGTGATGTCTTGCATGACCAATCCCTCTTTTGTCCATTTGCCTACCTAAGGACAAGACAGAGAAAGATATTCTAGAAGTACGTAATAGAATATTTACTCTATGACACGTATAAGAGGCTTTAAAGTTATAAACAGAAAGGTCCAGATTGTTATTGCGTCTCATTCACTCTCTGTGACTTCAAAGTTAAAAGAGATTTGAATAATATTTATTTTAAAAGACGTTTACAGTGAATCATTATCATAAATACCTCATGATGGGGTGCGTCACTCTTATTATGAAGTACGCCATATTACTGCGGTAGTTAATTTTTATGGATCATAATGGCACACAGTTAATAGCCTACCAAATATGTCGTACGCGAAATGTTTCTTGTTCTTTGTTCAACCTTTATGACACATCAATTGCTGATTTTCATTAGGGACTCAAGGGCGGGTAACTCTATATATCGCGGTGTCACTATTTTCTGACGTGATACGTGTGGATTATGTGGTTTACATCACTTCCTGTTTGGGATTATTCACAATCAGTATGCATGCGACCTAGGTTGAGTCAAGGGACATCGTCCAAACACATGTGTTCTTATCTAACCAATTTCGAATGGAGGTAGAGGTGATTCCACTTCAAAAACATTCTAGAAACCATCATAACAGCAGTTTCATGTATACCAACGAGTAGCTGAGACATACCGCAACGAGTCCTGTATTCGATCAAGAGATGGGATATCGCACTTAGATTTGCATAAGTAAACAGTCGACAGCGGCCGTGGATTACGAGATGTACCGATACTGCGATAATATAGAGCCCGCGATAATATACAATCATACTAGTGAGTGAGTGCGTATGGTTTAACGCCGCTTTTAGCAGTATTCCAGCAATATCACGTCGGGGGACACCAGGAATGGGCTTCACACATTGTACCCATGTCGGGAATCGAACCTGGGTCTTCGGAGTGACGAGCGAACCCCTAACGACTAGGCTACTCGACCGCCCCTACAGTCATACCAAACAGAGATTATCCATTTTGATGAGTTGCTTAGCACTTTGTTCAGCAGTATTTCACTTACATCACGGTGTGTCAGTTTGATGCTGGAGCGAAGGCTAACTGATCATGACAACATTTACCCCCTTGGTGACTCCTAGGACCACGAGTATGGTGCAAACTTAACAAGGATCATTACGGGATGAGATTGGTATTTGACGATCGAATTCAGTGAAGTCTGTAAACCAGATATTACTGATCGACGGCCTTCCAGTCCTTTTATATAATTAGTTAGTCACCTTTAAAGTGTCGTCACACTGTTACCATATTCACTTATTTTTTTTACAAATTCAAAGGTATTGCCTCTGGCACTTACGCGCTCTGGTTCTTTTAGATGAACTATAATCAATATAAGATGGATGACCATTTTGACCAAATGGCATCCGAGAATAAATGAAATCACAGAAAATGAGGTCACAGATGGTACAATGTGTAAATGTACATTGTGTCAAATGTGTCAAGAGTCAACCAAGCGTAATGGGTAACATGTTGCACGGTGTCCCAGAATACTGAACACGATACAGTGTAGTGAGTATCACAGATATTATTGATTGTTCGAAATGAAATACACAAGCACATCGTTTCACAATCATGCGAGCTTTTCAGTCTAATTTGAAAGCCTTTCCTGTTTGCATGTGGTCCTGCGGTGCCGCTGTAGGCTGGTAGTTATATGCGGGAAAAGGTCGATTTGTCGAGGCAGGGGGCATGAATAGCCAAATCGTCTAAGGCGCCGCGATTCGCTGTGCAGAGTTGCGTCCCTTGTACACACCAGAAACCTTTGATTCTGGGTTCAAATCCCGGTTCGACCCGATTATGTTTCTAGGTTTGTCAGCACCTCACCCGTCCACTTGGATTTCACCAAAGTGGTTAACGTCTCAGGCCTGTATCACTTCGGGCTTTCCTCCCACATTAAGCTGACATATAACTTGAACACTGTTCAAAGCGGCGTTAAACCCTACTGACTCACTCACTCACTCGTCGTCATGCAAACATATCTTTCATTATTAAGATATAACCCATTGTACATGAGTTACTACATAATTTACCGATTATTAAGGCCATATTTCCCTGAAGATTCATAATGAAATAGTACATAACATATAACTGTACGCTCGTGGGGCATCAGAAAACTCCTAAATAAAACACCTCTTTGGGCGAAGGCTGCTTTATTGTCCAACAATTGTTGAGATAGATTTCTGTCTCGCGTAACATCACCCCTGTGACAGATTAATGTAGTACATTCGGCTTTTATAACTTCGTAAAGTCATTCCCCCCTTACACTCCTCAGATAGCATTGCATTTATATTACTCATTTTGTACTTGTAACACGAATTCTGATGGCAGACTGTCCCCATAGATTCATATAGTTGACGGTACTAATACACCAAATACCCTTGTTGATTCAATAACACATACATACTTCTTGCATGTGGCTGATCGACATATTATATTTATTCCATCACAGAGTACAATCTTTCATAAAACAGTTCTACAAAGAGCGCTCGCCAACTGCTTCAGAGCTAGTGTCTCGATACTCATCCTCATTCAACCTTAGGGGTTAGATGTGTACGCAATGGCAGCCACCTTAAATCAGGATTTGGAGCGGATGCCTGCTCCTTTGACAAAATCAGTTATTTCCGCAGTCTCTGTAGAATTACTGGAATCTTCTTGTCGGGCACATATGCTTTCCGTGGAGAGTTTATGCCTTGAGATGTTTCGATACTGTGGTATATGAATGCACAGACCATAACCTTAATTCATTGTGTGATCCGAGGATCATATATTTATCAAGCCGAAATTTGCACTTAAATACATGCATTAGCTTCGTTGCAGTGTCAAACTGAGTTGAGAAAGAAGGATTAAATTCTTTCCCCAAGAAATGAGGTAAGATGCTGAGGAGGATTTTAGAAAAGACACTTGGTGCAAGAGCCATCACGTTGTGGCCTATTCTGACCATACTGTGTTAACAATTTTGACACATGCACAAACACAAACATGATGAAATATATTTATAGAACACGGCGAAAATATTTTCACCTGTAATGGACCCGTGGCATTACGTCTAAATTCTATTCAGCGATTAAGCTACTATCAACCCACATTCAGTCAAGAGCGCCGTTTATCATGCCTCAGTGTTTTGTTGGTGCATATCTTTTCCCAAACTGAAATATACTTCCCAAACAAGAAAGAAGGGTTTTTCACCTCATAAGGGTCAGTGAATATTCATCTGAACTGTCATTCATGTCTTTCAGTTATCGTGACATCACTGGGTTTTTTTACATATTGCCCATTTTCCAACATAATCAATGGTTTCAAATCAAATCAATGGTTTCAAATCACTAATCATCCCAGTCTGGTAACAATAAGTATCCCTATCAATGCTCACCTCTATCCACTTCCTGCCTGTACCCCGAACTTGGAGATTCACAATCTTCAGCTCAGTAAACTTCAGGACTCCTGAGCTGTTGAACGATATTATCGGAGGCCGTGTCACTGTGATGTTCTTCATGAAACTGCAATAGTATCGACACAGGGTGAAGTCAAATCGAACTCCGTTGAATCGATATATCGTTCAAGTCAATGTAGCGTTATTTTCCGTGATTTCACTTTAGACACATCTAAGAAATGTTATGCATATTAAACCATCATATATACAAGTACATTTTTTTATTTGACTACAGTTAATCTGCCATGCCATGAAAGAGTTATCGTAGGAATATGAATAAATTCAGTTTATACAAAGCAATACAACAATTATTTACTTTTCGCCCGGAATATGACCGACCTTCACTGAACTCAGATCTAAAGTATGGTCGATAAACTACAAAATGACGATGTAACTGACACTTGTGCACAAAGACCGCGCCAGATCATATTACATCAATAGTACGAGTCATTCTGCAGGGAGGAAAGTTTACAAAACCAGTTTAACACGAACAAATGTATTTTACGCTCTTAAATGACAGTAATTCGGAAAGTAGCTATTGAAGCCACACCATTATCATCTAACAATAGACAGGGGATGTTTGACTGACTTCGTAATGACAGCATAAACGGACTTCCGCTAGCGCTCCCGGTGTTTGTTGGGGAAACACTTCCACAACACTCACGTGCCCCCGTCCATTGCGCGGTGATCCCTACTTCCTAAAGCCGAGTAATTACCGGACATGCGCAGTTATCGAGTAATTGATACTACATAATTTGGATGTTGGTGTAAATCCAACTACAAACCCACATGTCTGTTTCCTTTCAAAGCTCATCTTATTTAATTAGGTTCAGTTTCTCAATTTGGTAACGTTGATCTTGGTCAGTAATACTAGATGTGGGGATTGATTAAGCAAGAGCACTCACGCGGACGTGGATAATACGTTCTGTTTCTATTAGGAAACGTACTGAAAATGTGTTAATTCCATCATCAGATAAAGCGCCCATAGAAAAAATTTGCGCTGTAATGTTTGGCTAAGCCTTTTGGAACACAATATGAATCCGTTGCAACCATTAGCCTCCACTGCTGTTCCATCACCTCCCATTGCAATGACATCGTATAAAGGCCTCTTAAGGGCAATGAAATCTTCCGTCAAGTTATAAATGGAGCGCTGGTAAAACACTCTGACTCTCATGTAACTTTTGACATTTAAACATCTAATTCTCTGTTTTTGTCCTCTATGAATTTGATACACCGGGCGCAAAAGAGACTTGTGAGAACGTCATGTGCTTGAAACTAGATACAGGCATGTTTTGTTTATGCATCCTGCTAACATGCTTTTGACCTGTCCTTAAACCAGATGGGATTTTTTTAATAATGAGCTCATGAAAGAAACTCGTAGAACAACAAATCTCCTCATATTTTACCCCCAAAAAATAGCTGTTCGTGAGACATGCAGGAAGTCTTGAAAGAAAGTTAACTATTTTCACAAGTTTTCATTTCACAATATATTTTGTTTCTAAAAAGAAATTCAAACCAGTTCAAATCCTTCCTACAAATGTAATTGATCATTACACAAGTTGTTTCTATTTTCCCTGCAGAGGTACAATGGTTTGAAAGTAGAATAATTATTGAAGTGTGACTATCTAATGACCCTAAGCATTACAAAGACACAAAATACCTTTGTACTGAAAGTTTCTTGTCAGAAAAACTAATAATCAATTTGAAAATCATATGGTCCATACGATATTAATAGTTATTAATGTTCAGTTTAAAACATTAATGCGATTAGCGTTGTTTTTGCTTTTTTTTTATCAGTATGTATGCTCATACGTCGAGTAAACTACAGGGGGAAATACTGTAATTAACCCAGAAAAAGAGGCACTGAGAACATGGGCACAGGAGAGCCTGGTTCTTGCAAGGGCATAAACACTCTTCATGCAGTGTTAAATCTTACGCAGAGTATACAGCCTGATTATTCTCATCCTCTTAATGGTATAATCATGTCTTTCGCACTGTTACGTGATCTTTACTTTCAATCCTAGACACCCTGATCACCCAGTGTATGATATATTGATATATTCAAGATGTTAGGATATATAGCATGGATCCATTCGCCACCAAAGTTTTCCTTCCACTCTCTTTCTTTCTCTCGCTCTCTCTCACTTTTTCTCTCCTCGCTTTCTCCTGTCTCTCCTCTCTCTCTCCTCCTCTCGCTCCTCTTGATCCTCCTCCTCTCTCTCCCCCCTCTCTCCTCCTCACTCTCTCCTCTCTCTCCTCCTCAATGGACATTTTTTATCCTTTGATAATAACGATAAGTAATATTTGTGGCCAACAGGGGACATCGCGATAGGTCCCAGTGCAGAGTTACGCTGCTTTGTTTTGCCAGGACACGATGATCGTGGGTTGGAATCCAAGATTCGCCCAGACTACGATTATCATTTGCCAACCGTGCTCGTGCCTATAGCAAACTGACACACCGTGATATACCTGAAATACTGTTCAAAGCGGCGTTTAACCCAAATCACTCAAGCACTCACTTGACTTACTTGTATATGATCTCGCCGTCATTCCAGAACATCCTTCCCCCATCCTGACAGTTGATCTTCGGGTGCAGGTCCACCTTCTGGATCATTCTCTTGTTGACCATGTCCCGCATCCCAGTCACCCACACGGTCACAGCAGCTTTTATCGCCGTCTCCATGGCGTCTTTCTGGTGGTCGTAGGTAATACCTAGGAAAGACACATACAAGTTAGGTTTATCATATGACGCACAGAGTAATGGCTTCAACCATGGATGACATAGGGGTTATGAACGCCGAGTTTCATATCACTAAGCTTCAAATACAGAACAATTCCAGTGCTATCACAGTTATAATGGCCAATGTGGCCCAGTCGTCAAAAGCTCAACAATCTGTTGTGTACAGATGCGTCTTTACGCCTGCCCAAAAACTATAATCGTGAGGTCGCGTCCACGATTCGCCACGATATTGTTCTCGGTTTGTTAGCGGCACAAATGCAGTCACTGTGTAAGACCTGCATCGGTATTTCGTCCCACATCGACCTTACATGCGTGATACAGTAGACTACGGTTAAAACGAACACGCTTATAACGAACTGACGGATATAACGAACTTACTTTTTGGTCCCGACTATTTGCTTTAGTTAAGCTGTTTATATGCTTATAACGAACTACGGTTATAACGAACTAAAATTAGAAGGCCCTTTGAGTTCGTTATAACCGTAGTTTACTGTATATCCAAACGCGACATTAAAACCCATCTCACTCACTCCAGCGCTGTCATTCATGTTGGGTTGTGTAGTATAGGGATTAAAGGGTTTGTTCGTCACGCCAAAGTCCTGAGTTTGATTGTAATATAGGCACAATACGGGGAGCGGCATTGATATCCCATCCACGACGGTTGAACATTGCTAAAGGTGGCGTAAAACTTCGCTTAATCATCCTTCCGTTCTACTAACTATTTACTTCCTTGGGTAAATGGCCGTAGATAAATGCAAAGATATGTACTGTAATTATTTCAAGTAAGAATTACTAACGTTAACCTTTGGTCACCGACAAGTGCAACTGAGAGGCACGTCATTGCGGTGCTTTGATCAATTCATTTTAGTAAACATTCACGTAAACTTTACGTTATATGTAACGGCACTGGCTTGTGGAAGTGACGTTCATGTATTTCATGATTTGGGGTACTTGCTGCTGTTGTGGCACAAGCGTCTTGGTTTGACAAAGTAAATATCAACAAAAACGAAATGATGTGTTAAATCATAATCAAAGCAAAACATATTAAAATCAAACTTGTCCGACTCCATACCAAATTTCCCACAAATCAAACAAGAAATAGCCGATTCATATTACATCGACAGAAATATGGCATATTCACAATGTTAATACACACAGTTCATGACATTTTGGTCTCTCTGTCACCACCTATTCGTTTAAAACCATGAACTTGCACAACCCAACAATATGACACTGTAATAGTTTTTGTTTGTTTACTTATCATCTACAGATATACTTTGTAACTTGTATGTATTTAAGATTGCATGTGAACTATATTCTGTAAACAGATTGTTTGTGTATCCAAAAAGTAATAAAATCATTAAAAAAAGTAATTACCTAACACCTACGTGGAGGATGAGAGCATCATTGTAAATATGTGACACCTATCCTTTTCAAATGGTAGTTATTCGGGATGGTATATACAAACTGTCATTTCTGGAAGATTCGCCGTGCTTCGAGATCTCAAAACGTTTTGTTATTGATTAATACAAATATATTGATATCGATTGCAACTCTCAAACCAAATTCTAGCATGCAATACGAAAAAAGCAAGTACAGAGACGTAACATTCAATTCAAGTAATGGGGAAAATTAGAAAATACTTGAAGTTAAATCAATCTCTCGTTTCATATCAAGCGTGAATTGAATGTTATCTTATTAAATAAAAACGCCATTATACGAACTGGAAAAAGTTTACTTTATGCAATTGGAATTTGGAGGATACATGTAGCCGTGGCTATATCAGATGGTAAAGAAACATTTCATCGATAAGCAGAATATTAATTCTGCGCGTCAACCAGATTCTACACGGGTGATGTTTCCTTGGGAACCGCCATTTATATTATTTCCTTCCTTCATAATCCGTTCTATAAGTTCTGATCGCTGTGATTGTATGTGAGATGAGGTTTTGTTAATTCTTGAATAACACGTCAGGAAACAGTTGTTTAAAGCCCTATAATTTGTCTGTGACGTGAAATACTGTCATTTGAAAGACATGCGGGGGCTTAAGTAACTGACGAGACGCATACACTGCTGTAAACACGTCGAAAACAAGAAATTCATTGTAGAATGCTTTCAGGAAAACCATTAGTAATTTTGTGAAAATCTATCACAAAACTTGCCAAGTGGTGCGATGGTAACAATTGTTCAGAGAAAAAGTGTTTACAATACCCTGTCTGTGAATAAAATACACTGGTGTGTGAAATTAAGAAAATAACTCTAAGAAAAAAATATTGATTTCCAGGGAGTCTTACAGAAATTGGATTACAACTTTGACTGTGAAAGTCTCGCTCTAAAACGACAATGGCAGATCTATAGATAGGTCCATCAAATAGGAAAACATATGTGTCTCCATATACACATGGGACATGATTCACGATACACATCTTGTCTGACGTAGACTGTGAGGTATCCAGAATCCCACAATCTCATCTTATATGGAAAGGCAAGGTACAAGTTACTTCCTTTCGAGTCTTTAGTCGTACATCCTCAGGACATCTTAGACGGATAAAGTACATCCTCTGATTGGTATATTGCTTTTCGGTAATTTGTAGAGTCTAGAAGGAGAAGCTGCTTCTGCACGTCACTTAAACTACACTTTTACAGTCGAAAGTTCCAAGAACTCGATCAAGTTTGTGCTCAACAAAGGAGCTCCGTTACAATTTTCAAAATGTTTAATCTTTGGCGGAGTTAGTCCGTAAAAGTAGTTCCCTAAAATCCGAGGCGCCTCTGTGGTCTAGTGGATAGAACGTCTGTTCGGAGAACGGATGGTCGGTGGTTCGATCCCCTGGTCGTGTCGTACCAGATTACGTTAAAACATGTAACGGCCGCCTCCATGGTCTAGTGGTAGAGCTTCCACCCGGATAGCGGAATGTCCGGGGTTCGATCCCGGCCTCGTCATACCCAAAGACGTTAAAATATGGTACTTTTTGTTACCCTGCCTGGTGCTCAGCATTAAGGGGCTAAAACAAGGACTGGTTGGCTTGGAGATAGTATATTGTGTCTTAGTGGGGTAATCATGTTTAACTGCGGCATGGTATCTCGATGGGTTGGCACTTTAACATCGGCATTAGTCCGGACTAGTACAAGCACACACACACGCGCACACGCTCACACGCGCACACACGCACGCACACACGCACGCACGCAATGCGCTCGACATTCAGAGAATAAAAACAAGGAAGGGTCGGCTCAGAGTCAGTATACTGTGTCTGCGTTGGGTATTCACCACACCTCACCACCACTTCACCCTTAAAAAGGAAAGGTAGGTTACCTGTCTTGTCATATGTTATAACGTTGGTCGTTAACATATTCTTCATGCTATCAACCATTGGTTTTCCAGGCGAAGATAGAAGAAGGAATACGAGCCTGATGGTATGTCTCGTGGCCCATTCCTGTTTGCCTGACTCAGTTGTGTACCGTTCACCATCATAAAGATGTGAACTTGCAGACTGCGGCGTTAAACCCTTATTCACTCACTCACTCACTATCAGGTGGTGTCTTGATACTAATAGAACACATACTTGTTCGAATCTATGTGATGTCTGTCAAAATACTACGCAAGATACTTTTATCCGTAACGATAGCCTGATAATTATTTTTATTGGATTCATCACCCTAAACTATCGTGTTTTGGTATGATTTAGAACAGTTATATATGCCAATATCAGGTTTCTTAAATGTCAAGGAGATTACAAGGAAGTAACCAAATGAATACTACGTCAGTGTCACTCCGCGTTATAACGTCGTAAAGACTGGGCAAGATCAGACAGTACAACTGAAAATTTAATTAAGAGTTAGGTTGACATTTAACTGTCTTGGGAATACTAATGTACATTACAGTGCCTGGCAGGTAGAAATGTTTTCTTATTAATCCTGACAAAATGGGAGGAACTTTGGCATTTGTTCAACAAACAAGGACAGGGACAAAACAGATGAGTGGTACAGAAGTGTCATTATTGTTTGAAGAGACGAACATTGAAGTGTGTGCTCTATAACTACTGCATCAATAGGAAACCATCCCTTAATCGTACAAGCCATATGTTGATATATGATATGTGACTTGATATATGTTATGAGTGACTAATTTTATGACCGCAATTGTGGAAAAAGAATGATCGCACTTTAAGATTTTATATTTTTACACATCAATATGTGACCCTTTAGACGGACGGACGGAAGGACAGACAGACAGACGGACAGACAGCAATCCATCTTGAAGTTTATAGACCACCAAATAACGTGACACGTAAGATGGCGTTCACCGCGTCAGCCTCATATAGAGGCAAAAATATGTCAGCAGCAGATACACCAACATGTACTGACCACTATGACGAACACATTGAGAACAGAATGAACACCAGGTGTTACACTAGTACATGCACCCACCAAGCATTCCGAGATGGTAGGATCTGGAGGCGTATCTTGACGTAGGTATCGCTGTCTGGGTTAATATCCATACGTAGTCCACAGTGGTAAGACCAAGGTTACGGGCGTAATCCATAATGTTTTTACTTTCTAATCTGAAATATTGAAAAGATTATTATTTGCAGCAGACTGAAAAATATGTCCTTATAATTACTAATCTTGATAAAAGTATGATATGATGTGTTGACATTACTTGTATAGCTGTAACGGTGTTATAAATGATACACATCTCTGAGTAAATATATATGAATTACAATAGGCGATAAGAAAATGAAAACGTTATTAAATTAAGTAAATATTATAATACAGATGGTATGTTGATACGTTGCATAACTAATTTATATGGCGTGAGTTTAAGCCAATATATGTAGGGAATGAAAACCTAAATACATGTACATGTATGTTGGCACTGGTACCCCAGTCGTCGCTCCAGGCACCTCAATTCGCTGAGTTACGTCCCTTGGTTCGCCAGAAACCTTCTGGTTCTGGGTTCGAATCCCGTTTCGCCCGGATTATTATTTCAGGGTTCTGGGCACCATACCCGTGATCGTGGGTTTCAAAGGTGTGAGAAACGTCTGTGAGCTTTATCCCTTTCATCCCACATTAAGCTGACAAGCCGTGATACAAATGGAATCTTGATGAAAGCGACGTTAAACCAAACTCACTCACTCAATAAATACATTCTTACAATATGGACGAAACATGACCGAATCGATGGTATGCCCTTCGAAAAGATGAAGACGTCCCTACGGGGATACATGACACTTTTCATGGATAGTAACTTATTTTATTCTTTATCGTTTATGTTCGATAAAAAGAGCCATGTGCCATGTACTTATGTTCTTCCAACTTCTAAATGCCTCTCAAAGACTTCATCCCTATGAGGGTTTTTGTATCAACGAGGTTCTGGCTCACGGGATTCCATTGCAGCATATCCTAATACCACCTTTGCGATAAAATGTAGAGCTAATACGTTGTTTAGTTGTGATGATTAGCTTGGTTCCGTGCCAGACTTTCGTGCACAGATACCATCGCCCTATCTTTATACACTATCATGAGTATTAACCTTGCGTCTGTCTGAGAATACTAATTTGCTTGGAAATGATTTTTTGTTGCATTGTATTTGTATGTATCTTCTTTTGTATGCATGTCTCTTCTTTTGATTTGAAATGTTGAGATAATTATCCAAGTATGTTATTCGCATGTGTAAACAATATGTGTTTATTGTTTTACCGATGCTCATATAATCAGATGGATAGGGGGGAAAGGCATACGAAGTTCTTCCTACCTCATAATTCTGGCCATAAATGTTGTTAGACGCTAAATCAGCGCGTTAGAGAGAATTTGTATTATGCTTCTGACAGCACTAGTCAGGGTGTTCCGTAAATAACCCAGAACACAATTTACCATCATGAGCAGCGTTCCACCCTGTCAGGTTACGTTGGCACAGGATGCTTATGCAAACTGTTATCAGTATTGTGTTTACCGTGAACGAATGTCCTTGAATTCATCGCCAACAATTATGAGATTTGGTTTTACTGTGGCAAATCGACCCCGAAAATGTCGACGTTTCTTATCATGTCGATAGTTATCACACACTGGTACTGGCGTTACTGGCCGACTACATACATACACAGAAGTCGACCATTAGAGGAACAAACAGTGGTCAACCATGTCTCCTCGCAAACATTAAAACTCAGTGTGAGAAAGAAATTTAAATACTCACGTGTTTGAGTGTAATAAAATAACCCGTGCATCTGATTCGAAAAGTTGACTGAGCTGAGCTTCTGCCTGAACCTGGCTAGGTTTATTCCTTAAAGTTATCTCCTTAAGGATTTTAAACCTGAAAGAAAGTGAACGCAAGGTAAATGCATGTATAAAAACGAGTTATCATGATAAACACTTCAATGACAAAATAGTCCCCACGGAACTGAACTATTTATCAAAATGGGGTGAGGCGGGGTTAGGTGTGGTGGGAGGGGTGTTATTTGATAACACAAAATGTTCGATCATTGCTTCAAGACATTATGTCTTTCTTTCTCTCAAAGAGAGAGTGAGTGAGTATGGTTTTACGCCGCTTTTAGCAATATTCCAGCAATATCACGGCGGGGGAGACCAGAAATGTACATCACACATTGTACCCATGTCGGGAATCGAACCCGGCTCTTCGGCGTGACGGGCGAACGCTTTAACCACTTACCTACCCGACCGCCCCTTCATATAGCCAAACATATATCTAATAATTCCACAACACATTCTTCAGGACATCCAGCATGCGGATCCCTTGATCTTAAATACTATCAATCAAAGTGCCCGTTCTGCTGTAGTTTCTTATGCTTATATTTGCTTACATAAATTGACACATTTCCTCGATTTTACTCATAATTCCCACTGGTACCAATACGACGTGGAATGATACGGCGACATGGTGAAGTGTAATTACAGCCACCGTGACGAGAGGGATAGTATAGCCGTACTAATGACGTTATCTGGTCTTGGATAGATAGCCCTCCGTCGGGACAATTCCCAATCAAATCCGACTGTTCTCGGGCCAGAATGGGAGCAACGTGTGCAGAATGCCGACAACAGATGTCCACAAAGTGGTCTATAGAGTCTCCAATGTGCCTGCTCAGTACGCTATTCAACCAAGCCCTGCTGCACCACGCTCTCCTAATGTAACCATCTGACGCCGATTACCGATCATATTTAGACAGACACAATTCTATCTTCTTGAAATGTCCTTTGATGCTCCAGAAAAGGTTATTAATCTGATTCCCTGACAAAGATGCAATAAACGAAGAAGATTAGTATGTATTTGTCTCGTTAGACAGCATAATCATGTTCCTATAACAATGTAATCATCCTTATTGTTGAATTCAATTATCATTGCTCAAGGATTTCTATGTGTGTACTGAATAAATAGAAAAATGAGTTCACATATGGTGCACATAATATCATATTTATATATCAATAATACATTTTAAGCCTAATGTGGTGAACAATATTGGTTGATAAATTGAAATTAAAATCGTATGAATCCCATTTTACGGTTTTTATTGCCTTATGTTACATTTAGACCATATCATTTTGTAATTTGAAATAACAAGTTTACCACTTGTTAAATGTTACAGTAGATACAGGAATTTCCAACGCTTTGAGCATGCATCTACAACAGTTTGGTTATGTCCAACTACAACTATAAGGCTTGGTGCATTATAATCCAAGCATATAGAGTACTCTGATGTGATACTTAGGCCTCCGACCGCCTCCGTGGTCAAGTGGTAGAGCGTCCGCCCGGAGAGCGGAAGGTCCGGGGTTCGATCCCCGACCGCGTCATACCAAAAGACGTTAAAAGATGGTAATTGTTGTTACCCTGTCTGGCGCTCGGCATTAAGGGGCTAAAACAAGGACTGGTCGGCTCGGAGTCAGTATACTGTGTCTGAGTGGGGTATTCATGTTCAACTGCGGCATGGTATCTCAGTTAGCTAGCACTATAAATCGGCATCAGTCCGGACTAGTACAAGCAGCCACACAAACACACACACGTACATGCACGTCGCAATATAAGTGCACTATTCTTGGACGCGACGTTAAACCCCATTTCACCTCACCTTAGGCCTCCGGAAAATTGCGCTTCTGTGCACAACCCATCCATTATTCCATTATAACATTACACAAGTAGTCAGCTTTCAATTCAGCACATACAATGTAATTCTAAACCTTTTGCACTTACAAACCTTCAGAACAATGATCAGAATATAGCATGTTTTATCGTAAATGATTTTATGTCACCATGCACTAGCACTTGAAGAATATCATGTTGTTATATGGCAGTGATGAACAATGTTTGAAACTGTATTACATTGTTTCCGTTGAGATTCAGTAGGAATTCATTGCATTGTATTTGGACAATGATCAGTTGTCAGGCATGTAGTACTATTTAATGTAAGCAGTGGTGAGGAAGGTATTATATGTCGATGCTCGAATTATCTGTAAATTTCCGGAAGGGCATGCGTGCAAGTTAAGCGAAACATGTGGAATACTCTATGTTCAAGTGACACTGGACTGGTCTGATACAGTGTAGAAGGTGTTGGAAGCTGGTTAGACTATAAAAACGGAGCGGGTGCGTCCCCTCTCATCTCACATTTCATCATACATTACATCAAGACCCGTTATTATGTGAAAATCACCTGGGATTCCAAGCCAAGACCTATCTTCGAAGCTTGATCACTGTTGCGGATAGGTGAACATTATTATCACTGAACCTTATTGATATCACCACTGCCGTCATATTTTGTTTTTTGATATTGTCATTGAAAATTGTACCCAAACTCTATTGCATACTGCCATTGTAATTGCTGTGCAGTAGTTTTATTGATTTGTAAACCTAGTTAACTATGTAATACAATTGTTGGTTGTTTGTTGGTTTAACACTAAATTCTTTTACATACAGTTTTCTTGGTTAACATATTATTTCAATTTGTGAATCGACTCGTAACACTGTATAGAGCAACGACATACATTTTAGTATCTAGAATTTGAAAATATAGACGTGAAGAAATAACTCAAGGATGCAATAATATTATTTTGAAACAACGCTTGTCTCGTGTTATATTATTGGAGGGAGATGGCATCAGGGTGGATGGCAATCTTAAAGCTCCGAATATCGTAAGCCAATGTATTGGAGCTAAGATCGCCTTGGCGCTAAGATCTCTTTGTGGAACGGGGCCCATGTGTCCTCAAAGACAAGTTCAAAGTCATTATAACCCCGAGGCCGTTATTTAAAGACATGAAACGTTGTAACGTGACAGTATACAAATTAACTTGTAGCAGGCCAGTCATTCGCTTCAGAGCCAAGAAGTCACCTGAGACGCCGTCAGAAGCAATAACGCAGTTGAATCCATAAGACGATTCCTGTCTTTGTGAAGCCAACTCTTAAATGCCAGTCAAGGGCTTCATGGGACCTGTATTTGTTGTTAGCTTGATATGCAATGATTCCCAACAAATTATAACGTTTTCCTTAATTATATTAACCAAAACGCCACCGTGCCTAAAGCATTCGGTATCGTAGTTTCTAGCAATGCCATTTTGCACCATTGAATCGTTGCCAATACAAGGCTCTAGTGGAGCAGTTTCATTGTTTCAACATACACATGTACCCACCCTTTAAATGTACTGACATGACGAAGCCATCCCATAACACAGTTAACATCAAAGAGACCGTTTCTTAGACACACTACAGGGAGTGCATATATTGGTAACGCCAAACGGTTGTTTTTATGGGTATTTCGGCTTTAACTGCTGGAGAACCAACTTGCCTCACAGGCCTTTTGCCATCTGCTGTAAATTCAGGAGCGTCGTGAGTTCGTTTAACAAATGATCTGATTGATGCGATGAAATCCTGATGTCCTGCCACTTCAGACGTCACTACAGCGAAGTCTGTCCAGTTGTAGCGCGTTAGAAGCTTGAGCATTGCTTGAGTTTGATGTTGGATGGTAGGTGCGATTTGTAAAGTGCGGGCTTCTTGCATTGTCTGAAACAAAACAAATTGCGACAATTGTAAAGCGCACGTAAAATCCCCAATGCAACATTTTCAATTTAATTTGCAAGCATAAATTTTATTCTACGTCGTAATTGCTGTGGTTTTATAGCTCCGGTCGGACCAGTGTGAATGTCAGTGAACATTGTAAATAATGTAACTTACACTTCACATGTCATTGAAATGAAATAGGTTACGTAACCTTACCGCTCTGAACTTCTCTGTAACAGACATATGAACCCCCTTGGGATTGGTCATATCAATACATGAATAGATCACGTACCACCCCTCTGGAAACTTGTTTGTAGCAAGGCTATGACTAACCACAGTAGAATCTCTTTATCAATAATTATGTTATCTCTAAATGAAGCATAACACTAAACATTCACGCACGGGGCATCATAGAATTTCACCGCGTCTTCATCACTTAATGGGCAAATAGACACTCGATTCTGATATTGACAACTGTGAACAAAGCACACTAAACTATGCATTTTTTCAGACATTTTAACGCGTGACTACACATGGATGGATGACTTAAGTATTGAAGTAAATGTCATTAACATGTTTCAATCTGATGGGCAGAATGGTGGTCCTTTGCAGGGAAACGGTGATAACTGCATGTAAGGTCATCGGTGATACTGGAACATTAGGTGAGGTTGAGTAGGAGGAGCTGGTTGAATAAACTTCTGTAGACATATTCTCCCTTACGTGTTCGGTATTAAATCGCGTACACAAAACGTCAACCCTAATATTTACTGTTATACCTAAAATAAAGTGTGCACTTAAACAATGGATTTGACCAACAAATTACAAACGTTATCACAAAGCAACTAGGCGAACGTTAGTAACGTGAACAGTGGCCGAAACTTTGCAAACTTTGGACCCTAAACAAAACTATTATACCTGTATCAAATAAATCACCATTGAATAACCATTTCTTGATTGTTTAATTTTAGCCACCATCAAGCATGGGTGTATATTTTCATTTGCCCGGCAGTATGTTTCCTTACTCAGAGATTATATATGTCCAGATGTGTGACCATATAGATTTAGGGCTAGAAATAGTTCCGATTTAAGGAGGTTCTTTAATTATGTATTTAAGTGTGAAAGACTGAGTTTTCCGAAATTGAGAAAAGTGATATTTTCATTGCAGTGAACATACCAATTTATATTTCACTGCAGTGAACATAACACTTGACATTTCATTGCTGTGAACATAACACTTTGAGTAAACTCTTGTCATACAAGAGTTACCTCCCCTCAAATTGTCTCCCTTTATCGTAAGTGTCTGGCCCGTTCACAAACTGTTGACTTCCTTTCTACGTTAGTTCCACACTGACAAGGCAAAATAATGTCAGATGGTCATTTATGGAGTTAATTTTGTTTCATGGCGTTTGTTATCTCTTGGTCCGCCTCCGTGGTCTAATGGTAGAGCGTCCGCCCGGAAAGCGGAAGGTCCGGGGTTCGATCCCCAGCCGCGTCACACCAAAAGACGTTAAAAAATTGTACTTGTTGTTACCCTGTCTGGCGCTCGGCATTAAGGGACTAAAACAAGGACTGGTCGGCTCGGAGTCAATATACTGTGTCTGAGTGGGGTATTCATGTTATCTCAGTGTGCTGGCACTATAAATCGGCATCAGCATCAGTACGGACTAGTACAAGCAAACACACACACATATACGTGCATGCACGTCCCTTTATAAGTGCGATAATCTTGGACGCGACGTTAAACCCCATTTCACCTCACCTCACCTGTTATCTCTTGAGCAGCTGATACGCCTAAATGGAAGTCAGTCATGTTCAAACCAATTAATTTATTCATAAAAAAACTTAAATTATCAATTAAACTTTACATAATACATTTTCGATCACAGCTAACTATTTGATAATGCACATTCTCTCTTTAGGGACATTAAAATAACCGAAAGATGATCTTTCGAATTAGAATGTATATCAAGATATGTCATTACCAGGCTGAGCAATAAATATGAAGCATTCCGTCACAAGTGATAAACGACACTGTATGTCATAGGATATGTACTGAGTCAAATTAAAAACTTCACATTTTTAACGGACGGACAAATGTATCAGAGAAGGTAATTTTTAATCATTAATGTCCAAAGAAGGATTTTAATTAACGGTGGTAACCATAATTTGTTCCAAGCACCTACGGTATTCGGTAATAACATCAACAGTTTAAATCATAAGCCCCAATCACGAGAATCTGATGGCACACAAGTTCAATAGCGTGTATGGCAACCATGTGCGTTGACAACTGCCACACAACGCCTCCGCATGGACCTTGTGATGCTTGTGAACACATGATTGGGAAGACGACGCCATTGTTGCTGCAAAATGGTGCCAAGATCTTGCAAATTCTGTGGTTGGTTCTGGAGAGTGCGCAGACTTCTGCCCAGAGCATCCCAGACGTGTTCGATAGGATTGAGGTCGGGAGACCTTGAAGGCCAGTCCATGACGTTGACTCCGGCATTCTGAAGGAAATTCCTTGTCAAAATTGCTGTTTGGGGTCTGGCATTGTCGTGTTGGAAGATCAAACCGGGTCCATGTGCTGACATAAAAGGCAGAAGTTCTGGTGCCAGTACCTGGTCGCGGTAAGCAGCAGCGTTGAGGTTGCCACGGATGACAAGAAGCCTGGAACGTGCATTGCCACAGAAAGCACCCCACACAATGACACTCCCGCCTCGAAATCTGTCAACTTCCTGTACACAACACTGGGCGTAACGTTCATAACGGCGCCTCCACATCCTCGCCCTACCATCAGCAAATCGAAGATTAAATCGGGATTCATCACTGAAGACGACTTGATTCCAATTCCTCTGAGTCCATCGTAAGTGTCGCTGTGCCCACAATTGACGTTGACGTCTGTGTAATTGAGTCAGAATCGGCCCGCAGTATGGCCGTCGGGCTTGAAGGTGAGCAGTTCTCAGGCGGTTTCGAACAGTTTGCGCACTCAGTCTACCCCTATATAGTTCATTTCTGGTTGATGTAGCCGTCAAAAATCGGTTACGGGGGTAACGTAAGACAATCTGACGATCCTCTGCATGTGACGTCACACGTGGTCGACCTGGCCGAGGGCGATCAGCGGTGGTACCCGTTTGCTGTAGACGCGTCTGTAAATCATAAATAAGCCGTCGACTACAACCCATCGTCCTTGCGACTTCAGCTACGAACGTTCCCGTCTGCAACATGCCGATGGCACGTTCACGTTGCACATTTGAAAGGCGTGGCATGACAAATGGCCGTAAAGACTTTTGTTTTCTTGTGTTTTTCTTTTTTTGTTAATGACTGCTTACAAGTATGGCTGAAAACACGTGCGGTATTATGGCCACGTGACCAGTTGCACGTGAAAAACCACTTTTGCCACTATAGTGCTGTGCACATGATTTTGATCGATTCACCTGCACAAAAACGGTTGTTATCTGAAGACAATACGTGGCAATTACTGTTTAAATACACAATAAGGGCCCCCAATGATAACTGGTCAAAATGTTAAACTTTTAGGATTGTGAAGTTTTTAATTTGGTTCAGTATATATATATAACATGGTTGTTCATCGGTACTAATCTAACATAGCGCCTTGGAGAGTATGACACTATGCAATTACTGACAGTAACCTTCGGCAGATGCTACGTGTTGGTATCAAGTGCTGAGTGTATATGAACATATTAAACAGACTACCCACATGTGTGCCCACGTTAATTTTGTGCAATGTGTCTATGTCATTGTGAAACTTGGTACATAAAAAGGTCAGTATCTGACATTTCTCCTCATGATAACATTTGCATATTTAGAAAATCAATAACATGACGTTGATCTTATATTGTTTTCTCCCCAACTATTCCATCGTTATACAGTTCATTGACAATATGTCATTATTTAAAGTGAAAATAAACGTGTAAATGGATGCTGGTTTTTGTTTCAAAAAACTGATAAGGTCTTTGATATAGGAGTCAGCATTGAGACTTCCCGCGCAAAAAATTGAATAATATGTAAGCTCTTCTATCGTGTGAAGGTTTATGACAACATCTAAGTATTTTTGGCTTGTAAAAACGTATTTCGCGGCTCTGATTTCCTTGTCAATAACAAATGTCAACGAATATGACGTTACAGACTTTACTGAGTCACAGATCAGCTTGCACGGTATCTCCTAAACAGAAGTACCAACAAAAACGCCCACGACATAATTAAAAATCCCAATCGTCTCAGTATACATAATTAAAATGACATCTTGTCGTAAAACCAATTACTGGTAACAAAACCTTTACAGTAATATTGAAATCATCTTCTGGCATTTACTTTTTAAAAGGTGATGATATGCACGAAAAGATAGAGCTAGAGGAGGAAAAAACGACCACTTCAATTTTCTCCATGAATCATTTTATTCCAGAGCTCCTTACTGGTTTTGGCATCAGTATAACGTGCTCTACCCACGTAACGCCGTTTGGGAAGTAGTCTAATTATGATGTGGAAAATGTTTTCCTTTGCAAATATAAGTTTCACTTATGTCTTTTACTTGTATATATAGGCATAAGTTCATATCATAAAATATGGGTTTAAATCAACGATGACTGTTATCATTTCTGATGAACTTTGCTATGTTTATTCTTCAGTCGGTAAGGACATGGTGTTTTCACATGCATATACCCTGAATGTTTTGGGAAATATGATTTAATAATCTGGATGAGCCAAAAGCCAATCATAAACCAATCAAACTAGATATCCTAGATGTGGAGATTCGAGGCTAATCAACAATCACAGCCTTTCTATTTTGTTGGCTAATTAAGAAACAACATATTTTGGAAACGAAATTGCCCAAACGAACTGGTAATTGCTTACACTGAACATCATTATACGAACACAGACATATTTCTTCTTATTTAATGAGAACTGGTATACGAGTATGTATGAAGTCAAACTGTCAAGAGTACCAGGGTTGAATGGGCTGGGTATTAAAGACGTAACACTCTCTG